TTCCTTGTTTAGAAAGCACTGAAATGAAGGTGGGGTGCGGGGTGGGGTGGGGCGGGGCGGGGTGGGTAGGGTTGGGGGTGGGGTGCCCACCCCGACCTCCGCGCGCAACCGGCCCACGACGGCGAACGCGAGCACGCGCCTGCGAGTGCAAGAATGACCGTTGCGCGATGCTGCGCGCTGCTGGAACGTACCACGCTTTGTTTCACTCGGCGAGTGCACAAACGACCGCTCGGCGAGCGCAAGCAACCAAAATCCGAGTGCACAGATGACCGCTTTAGCGAGTGCACAGACGACCCCCTGCCCCTCACTTGGGTGTGAATTTTGCGTAGTTACTTAGGCCTTCGAACATCATTCTGGGGATTCATGTCCACCAAAGACCTGTTGAGGTGGTTCCAACTCTTCAGATTCCAAGCCACTTGGGTGTCTCTTCTTTTGAGGGTAGACTTTGGTGGTGTTGAAGGAAAACCAAAAGGATAACCGCCATTTTGGGGGGGTTCAACCTTAAAAACAGACACCCCCACTTCTTCCATTTGCTTAAGCCCCCTGGAAAAATGAAAGTATGTCCAGTAGTGCTAGATTCCCTTCAAAACCAGAAAGGGAAAATATAAGCATTATTTTCAGCAAATGGAAGACTTGGAGTCGGGGAAACTCTCTCCCTCGCCGACCCTGCAAAAAAAAAACAAAAGAAACGAAACTGGGGCGCGGGACGAGCTCTTCGGCATCAATTCTGCCTGAGTCAGTCCGAGGCCATTGGGGACCACAAAGGGTCGACATCATTTGGGTGGCTCGTCTTTTTGGAGTTGGTACCCCCCCTTTGTTTGTGCGGCGTCTTGTGGGAAAGCCAACATGAAAACCGAAGCCAGTTTGGGCGGCCACCTAAAAAAGGACACACCCATTTACCGTTCTGGAGCACGTGCTCCCCCGTGGGGATGTCATGCTTTATGTCTTTCCCTTAGAAAAACATGCAAATGTCGTGGGGATGTCATGTTTGTTGTATGTCCACCCGCCATTCTGGAGGGTAAAAGGAGGGGCCCAGGAAAACTCATCTGCCACAGCCGAGCCTCGGCTCCCTCCGTCGCATTCGCCATGATACGTTGCGTGGCAGCTAAGCTGCCCGTATCGCGTCAGACGTGGTGCGTTGAAGCCCACGGGACCAGAGAATGCTGGAAGGCGGCTGGTCTGGGATGTTGGACAGATTGGGGCATCTCTCTCTCTCTCTCTCTCTCTCTCTCTTAAGGCTCGTGACATGAAACCATTCGTTCCAAAAGTCGAAAACAACTGCTGGTGTGGTTTCTTCGAACGAAAAGCAACCAAGAATCCCACCTCTGCCTCAAAAGCAGAGCTCGTGGCCTGTGGCTTTGATGTTGATAGGTTCCGAGCTGTTCCCGGGGCACATCGGCTCGGGACTCGGGACTCGGGACTCCGCTGACAAGTGGCCGGCGAGTGCTCATGGAAATTGCAGCGCTGGGGTGTCGTGGCGCTTGCAAAAAAAAAACTGGCTTGTGCATAGAAATATAGATCGCCACCAGCAGAACCTGGAAAAAGTGAAAACTAGAAGAACACCCGAGCTACATGTTTATGGCCAGAAAATGAACGAAAGACACCAGACAAAAAGAATTGAGACAAGAGAGGAGGGCATGTGTGAGAACGGCGGCCAACCATCCTAAGATTCCACGGAGGCCACCCCTCCTTTCGCCCAAACCAGCTGGATCAGAGCCGACCTGAACCTGAGAGGCCGACAAAGGGGCCGTTCAACATGTGGCTCTGGGTAAAATCCCTGTACCCCTGGCGAACATCAAAATAGGTGGTACATGGGTGTTCATCCGCCCCAAAATGGAAGCATAGGTTATGACCCATAGCCATGTGAGATCTCTTTGCGCCTCTTTTCAAATCCAATTCAAGTCCGGCGCAAGACTCTTCCAACCTTGGTGCGCCATCGCAAGTCCAAAATCGAATCACGGATTTGCGCCCCTTTGCCTTCCTAGGGCCTGGGGTGACCATTCGGGAAACCACCAAAAAGGGATTGGTTTTTCCGCCACATGGGAAGAAGAAAAAAAACGGGGTAAATTTGGGTTTCCTAAACGGAAGATTGATCAACCCACCAGAGAAGGATTCGACTTTCACCGCTAAATGGGACAAGTGACCCCGGAAGATTGATCTCAACCCCCAGGAAGATTGATCAACCCCCACTTCCCTGGGGTCGGACCATTCCTTCCTCCAGCGCGTCCCCGATTTTTCAGGTCCGCTGCAGCGCGGCTTCGACCCGAGCCAGCCAACCCGTCCCACGCCCGTCCCCGCCTCTTAGAAAAAAAACGCTCCCCGTTTTACGCCGCGCGGTATGTCTCGCATGTCTCGCCCTTGAAAACTTCACAGCTGGTGAATCCGCAAGGGGCACCTTGCGTACGGAGTTTCGTCTCATGTTCCAAGCGCCGATGTGCAAAAACCCTTTTCAAACCATGTAATATGTAGGTCAACGGGTTGGGGGGGCTGTTCCCCTACGTGTACCCTATTTGTTGGATACATTTAGGCGAGTTCTGTTTGGAACCAAAAGGGAAAACCCACACGTTTAGGAGTTCCCTACATAGCGACAAACCCATATATGGTACAGCGTTGCCAGCCCCCCCCCTCCCCCCCCAATGGTCATGGGTCAGACAAGTACCCCCCCCCCCTGTGGTTGTGGTCCTGTGGTTGGGTTGTGGTGGTTTAGGGTTGGTTTAGAATTGGTTCAGGGTATATTTAGGGTGTATTTAGGGTTAGTTTAGGGTTGGTTCAGGGTTGATTTAGGTTGATTTATGTTGATTTAGGGTTGGTTTAGGTTTAGAGGTGTACGGTTTAGGGTTTGGTTTAGGGTTTGGTTTAGGGTTTGGTTTAGGGTTGGTTTAGGATTGGTTTAGGGTGTATTTGGGGTTAGTTTAGGGTTGGTTTAGCGTTAGTTTAGGGTTTGGTTTAGGGTGTATTTAGGGTTGGTTTAGGGTTAGTTTAGGGTGGGTTTATGGTTGGTTGCGGGTTGGCTTGTCCTGGGGGTGGGGGTGCCGGGGTGTCGGGGTGCGAGTTCAGGGGGTCGGGGTGGGGGTGGGACCGTAGGTGCCAGGATCCGGGGGCTCGGGTCTCGGGCTGGGGGGGGGGCCTGGGGGACCATACCATATGGGGGGGGGGGGTAGCAACACGGAACACGGGACCATATATGCACCATGGTTGTGAACAATCCCTATGAAGGGGCTACGGATCATCCCTGCCATCCCTGCCAACCCTGCCAACTCAAGGGGTCTTTTGATGGCACATATTGTGAGGTCCACAAACAAAAACAAAGGGAAGGGTTTAGTGGGATGGTCCGAAGCCGAAAGCAGGGCGGTCGGACCGTTCTTTGAGCTTGGGCATCTGGTAGGGGGGATTTTTGGGTCTGAAGTCGCGAAGTGGCTTAGGCGCCTAGAATTTTCGATCTGATCCGCTGGAAGCTTTCGATGGTCTCCACCCCAAACCCGAACAGCAACCAATACCCACTACATCATGGTTACGCACCCCTGTTTCTCTTGGATAGTGGTGTGGGGGGTAGTGGAAATCATCTTGTGGAGATGCGAGCACAGATCCTGATTGAAGCCTCAAGCCATCACGACATGGAACCTTTTCGGAGTCAGGAGAAAGCCATCTCAAGGTTAGAACGGTTGCAACTGAATTTGGTTGCAGAGTCTCCCACAAACTCATTCAACAATCCAACTAAAGCCCTTATAGCACTGACTAATTAAAGCCCTTATAGGGATGAGGAAGGGCTGAGACATGAGCCTGGGCAAAATGGCTTGGTGGGAAAAAACAACCGGTGGGCCCCTGGTTTTTGTGGGGAATGCTGGGCGCCATGTCCTCACCAATCTTCTTGTCAGTCACACAGCGCGTCGGCTGCGTCCATGGAAAGCAACGCGATGCACTGCGCCGCTCCCCAAATCCCCAAGCTGTGGACGCAAATCGAATGCATCCGGGGCCATCGAATTCCAGCGCCATCCATCGGGTACAATGGCTGCCATCCCAAAAGCATATGCGGCGTGTCGTTGTTTCATGGTACCCTTTCCGAAAACCATCGCGGGTTACATGCAGCACGAACCAAGGAAGCTGGCGTGGACCCTCTCCCTCTGAATCCCCTTTGTAAGATGATGGACTTCGGCTTTCCTTTAGGTTCCCGTTGAAACCCCGAAAATGGTCAACAAGAAAGGAAGAAGAAAAGTGCAGGTGGGGTTTTGGGATACCCTCCTTCTCCTTTTGCTACGCTTGGCATGGCATCCGGAGGGTCTCAAATGCCGGCAACGGATTCCAACCCATCCCCTCCCCCCCTCGCCACCCACTGCGCCTGAGAACCCTATGCTTGGAGGAGGGTTCCTTGAAACCAATCACTTCGGGTGGGCTGGAATCCCATATGGCGCGCGTGAGAAGATCCCGGCAGGCTCCGGGGTGCTTGTGCGTCCAGAAATGGAAACTTCGCATTCATCCGGACCATATCAAACGAAGGAATTCCCCCAAAACGGCATTGATTCCTGACGAAAGCGGCAACAAAATCCCGGATTAGTACAGTCCTCCGGATCAAAACCGAAGTTGATATTACACCAACCTGCACCAAAGGGGAGGGGCGCATGAATGTAGGGAGGTCTGCATTTGGCATTGCCAACCAGACCCCGACAGAAGATGCACTCCAAACTACCACACCCCCCCCCCCCCTCTCGGCCCTCTGCTTGTTCTTGCATCTGAATAGGTGTGTTCGTGCTGGTCTGCAAGTATCACGCATAGGCGGGATGCCATTGGATTTCGTTTGGTTGCTGGCGTGTTTCATTGCAATTGAGCGCGCTTGGACGGCACTTGATCTTGCACCTCTAAAAAATATGGAGAACAATTCTCCAGTGACCATGGTGGAATCAAATCAGCCCGCTTTAGGGTTCAACATTTCGTTGGGACGCCAAACACACACACACAAACAAAAAAACAGGATTGAGAGGCTGCAAATCCACTGAACAAGTCGAACCGAGATCATCAACTCGCAGGCCGCCTTGCAAGCCTGACGGTTGTGAAACTCTGCTTCACGCGAGCGTGAAGCAGCTTTGATTTCGAGCTACACGAAATGCAAGTTGAAATAGCTCTCCGAAATGTGAAGGGAAAAAAAGGCCCCGTTTTCGGACTTTGATCGCCCGGTATCTTGCCTCTAGTTGGGCCCTGCTGCCTCGGAAGCAGAAGCCTCGAAGCGCAGCTTCCGAGCTGCGGAACTGAGGCCACCTGGCGACCGGGGGTGGTCTCACCTAAAAAAGGAGCAAAAGGCCAAGAATTTCTGGGTAACGGGTAGCTGAAAGGGCAAAACGCGGGGCTGCCTATTTCAAGACACACACCCGGGCAATCATTTCAGCGAACTTCGATTCGAATCGGTGTCTGGGACCGAGACGGAATCGGGCCGTAGCTCAGGGTCGAAACGAACCCTTCGATCAGGGCACACCCTAAGGGCAGGATTTGGGGCCTTTCCTTCAAGAAAGGGGGCTTGCAACCCAACTCGTCAAAGGGTGCCAACCCCCTTCTTCTTTGTGTTTGTCTCTCCGGGCCCTTTCTTCAGCAGACGAAGAGCATTATTGGAATGAGGGCATGGAATCGAATCCAACCGTTCCAAACTGTCTTTACCTCGGACCTGACTGGTGAAATCGCCCGGGTCAAGGTTTGTGGAGCACCCTTGAAACTGAACCAACACTTGAGTCGCACGTCTCAAATCAAACCTAAAAAATAACGGGTTCGTTTTTGCTCAGGCTTGCAAAACGAGACTCCGAGGTCTAACATATCATTTGTGCCTATGCCCAGCATGTCAACACCTGCAGGCAACATGTGCATATTGGACTGGCAACTGTGTCAGCGGGGAACTTGATAACCCCGTCTTGTCTTGGCCATGTGGAATGAACTGTTAGTCCATGTCGCTGCTTGCCCAATGCTGAAACCAAAGTCTCTTTCAATGCCTACCTTGATGTGATGTGGGTATGAAGCTTGATTGGGGACCCTTTGGTTGGCATCAATTGCAAGGAGATCTGTCGCCAACCATTTGAGAGGCTGGTCCCCACGAAAATATTCACACCCACATGGAAGTCATTTTTGCATGATGGACCGTTGCCTTCGCGGCTCCGAATCCAAGCAGAAAGCGAACACGAGTGCGCAAATGTCGACACAGGGGTCAAGAAGAACCTGCTGGATTTCTTCGGGTGTTCCCCAAAAAATGAGTGGGACACGGCCTCGAAAACCAACCGGGGGTGTAGTACCGAGTTCCCACTCGTTGCAGCACAGTGGAGACACTGGAGGAGCTGTGTGGAGTGTGGCCGTTGGGACCACGCTTCTGCAAGTTCCCATGTGACGCAAAGAAGTTGGGAGAACATCCCTGGACTTCCATGGACTTGGGGGGTTGACCATGGCTAACTTTTCCCATTTACTGGCACATGTCACATCTTTTTAGTGGTGTCCCGACCAATCGTCATCCCTTGGTTGACGTTGGAAGGGGAGCAAAAATTCAATTTTTAGCAGTTAAGTGGGGATTTCCCACTAAACTACAATAGGCAACAATAGCAAAAATGTGTCCCAACAACCATGATCCCAGTACCGGACCTTTTGATCAACTCCCACTTGACTCCGCGGAAATCCAAGCAAGCGGCAGCCCCGCCTTTGCCAGCTCAGCCTGCCAACGCCGAGGGAAATCCGACTCTTTGAGAAGCTGAGCGCAAAGATATGGCCATGGGTCAAAATCCAAATCGGTTAGCCCCCCAGTTTTCACATCCGATTCAATCCAACCACTAAAATAGGTAACCTAAAGTGGGTGGTGAATTCACCAATCCCCCAAAATGGGATTCCATAGGTTTTGCCCCATGGGCATGTCTTGGTTCAATTTCGGAGAAGGAGTGTTGCAACCAGAGGCGGGCTCTTCAAAAGATAGATGGTTGTGTGTGTGTGTGTGGTACATGGGTGGCGTAAAACCCATCTAAACCAGTCTTAGAAACAAATCTATTGTTACAAACAAATCTAAAAGGACACCTATGCTTGCAACAATCAGTTCCCCTTAAAGGAAAGCACCCAGTCCCCTTAAAGGAAAGCATAAGGCATGGTTCCGAGACAATCAGTTCCCCGCAGCCTTTCTCCTTGATTCAGAGAAAAAAAAGGGGGTCAAAGCTCAGACTCGGGCTTTGCCAGTTCCCAATGGCGGGAGGTCTGTTTAGCTGACCGCGTGCCTGGTGCATGTGGCTGTGGCTCCAAAAACATGTGCCAAAATGGCTTGCCCTGGCAAGTGGAAACATGGACCAAAACCTGCGGTTTGCCCTAGCTCCTTATTTTTGAGCCGCACCCATGTGTTTCCAAACCGCCGAGTCAAAAGGACCTCCGAGTTCGTTGGCGACTTGGCCATGGGTCAAAACCCCGTACTTCCAGTGAACATCCCAATCCCCACCAAAATAGGTTCTAAAATGGGTGGTGAATTCACCTACCCCAAAATGGGATCCCATTGGTTTTGAACCATGGCCGTCCTCGGGAGCGTGGTTCGGCTTCGGCTTTGAAGCCCTGGGTCTGGTGGGGCCCCCACAGCTCACCGATTCGGCCCGGCTCGATTCCGACCAGTCATAGCTGAGACCAACACTTCAAAGAAACCCGTGGCCAGAAGTCTGACATGAGGCACAATCAAAACCTGGCATTCAAATGGTCCCAGAACCATGTAGAGAATTGACAAGGCGGAGATCCGCGCCCATTTATGGCATTGTCCCTTACCTATATCTACCCGAATCGGTTTTGAGGACGTGGCTCACATGACACTTGCAACATGGAGTTCCACGGCTCCCCCTTTGCTCTCACGCGCGGGGCTCCTGCAGACACATAGGCAGGCAACGGATGAGATTGAAACAACTAGAAGACAAGCGAATGGAGGTCAAAACAGAGGGCCCAAAAATGGGTGGTTTCCCTCAACCCGCCAAACTTGATAGGAAAAAAAGGAAGAAGAAACAAAAAACGCGGCCATGCCCCAAAACAAAAGCACAATGGCCGCGAGAATGTTGGACCGAATGGCAGGGTTCCGGATCCGAAAACCGGCTCTCGATCAGCTGGTACAGGTGATTTGTCTAGCCCGACCTTGGCTGAAAGAAGGCCCTGACATACGGGCTCCATGGTGGTCACGCTCCGAGACACAGGTCTCCGCAGCCCCATCTTCTCTGCGAATCATCAATCTCGTCAAGCTACTAAAATCTGTTGGGGGCATCTTGTTATGGGGGAACCCCCGAAGAATGGCGGTTCCTCTGTTGGCTTCCTTTTCGAGCCACCCAATCAGGGTGCCCTCAAAAGACACGAACATGTCTGCGAAAAGGTCTGCAGCAACTAGGTCGACCAAGATGGAGTTCAAGGGCTACCATGCACAAATATATGTCAAAAGGTGTTGAGGCCCGGAATTCCCGGCGCCCCCCCCAAAAAAAAAGAGGTCGCCTGAACCGTTCGCTGGCTTCTCGGTGAACTGCGATGAGAAGCCTAGGTGCTGCGGCAGCCCGGCGCCGCGGTAGAACTTCCAGTTGCTTCACTACTGGACAGATGGGTGTCTTTTTCTAGGTGAACCCCCCCCCCCCCACCGCCAAATGACGGGTTTTGCTTCTGGCTTCGCTTTAAGAACCAACCAACAGGGGGTTCCCTAAAAAACACAGCACTATGTTGCAAATAACTTCCCAGGTTTGGGTGATGTTGGCCCATGTTTTGAGGCGGTACCCTTTTTGGGCGCCACACAGATCCTAGTTGCCCCAATACTGGGCGTGTTTTGTTTTTTTTCTCTCTCTCTCTCTCTCTCTCTCTCTCTCTCTCTCTCTCTCTCTGTCTCTCTCCTATCTCGCTCTCGCTCTCGCTCTCTCTCACTCTCTCTCTCTCCCTCTCTCCATGCAGAGCGGCTCAGTGCAATGCCGACCAAAAGGCATGCAAAACCAACTAAAAAAGGCGTTGGGCAAGTTGAAGTTCCCAAACTGGACATCAGGAATCCGGCAAGCAACCTTCATGAACTCGTTTTACCTCGTGGGCTCGTTATAACTTACGAGACACGGTCCCTGCCCCCTCTACCCCGCCCAAAGCTGATGCTTTGTGAAAACTAGCGGCAGTTGAAAAGGCGAGAAGGGCAAGCAGGGGGAGTGTCAAGTTGGATGGACAGGGCTTCATCCAAACCTTGTCCTGCGCCATATCCCACATGGAACACGACGCGGGGGGGGGGAGCGGGACTTCGAGATCAGCTGCTGCGCCTTCCGGGTTCTCAATCTGGTAACTCCGCAAGAGGGTTGCAGGGAGGATGCATGGCACGATGAACCTTCCCTTGCTTTGTTCCCACCTATTCTGTTTGCCCCTCACCCGCCTTTCCCCCCCCCCCCGGCACCGGAAGAAGCTTGCCACACCGAGAAAAATTGCACTTACCGAGGCATTGAGTACCAAGTTGGCCACCTTGTTAAAATTACAGAAAGGGACCCTGTGAGCGTTGGGTTTTTGCACACACCTAATTTTACCCACGCTGAGGGGGTCCCCCTCTCTAAAATTAAAGGGAACGTGCAAGGGTTGCCTACCGTATACATTCCGGGCGAATCAGCGTGGCTGTAGAACCAACTCTGAGTCTACCCCAACTCTGCGAAATCGATGTGGAACCGGAAACCAATGAAGCAAACGGAAACCTCTGAACATCTTTCACGCCTCGTAGCAACTCGGGTCCTTTGCCAGGGGGCCCTCTTTGCCAGGGGGGCTCGCACGGCTGCCCGCCAAGTTTCGCGCGCCAAGCTCCCGCTGTCCGTGGTTCTTGGCCCCCGGCGAATCAAAGACATGATCAGGCTGCATAGCGACCTGGCACGGAATCGGAAAAGAGACGATGGGAATCCGCAGAGCCGAAGGGCAGGGCAGCCTTGTACTTGCAAGGCTTCTGCCTCCACTTCAAAAATGATGCTTGAGGTGAAGTCTCAATCATGCGCTTTGAAAGTTGCTTGCTTCAGTCCACATCGCAGCATTCACATGGAGAAGGCGACGTTTGTGGCACTCAGCAAAACAATGGCCGAGGGACGGCTCTGCGTCGCTGAGCAGTGGTATGTCTGCTCTGTGTCGCACTGGCACGCCATGAACAGTTCAACGAGCACGGCATGTTGCATGCTAAGCCCGGCTGAGAAGCTATGACGGGGTCTTCGCTTGCACTGCAACCCTCTGCTTCTCCAGTTCCAAAAGCCTTCCGCTTACTTGACTGAGCAAGAGCCCCTTCCGCCCCTTCCCCGAGGCTTTTGTGGAGTACGGCGAAGGAAAGTCAAAAGGAAGCAAAGGCAAACACAAGGAAACCAAGAGAAAGAAAGAAAACCCCAAAGAAACCAAAGCAAAGTCAGCAGAAAACCAAACATAAGACCGTTCAACGCCCCCATTTCTCTCCGAATCCAGTCCCGGATTTTGGTGAGAAAAAAAACATATTCTCCGCCGGCTGCACCAGGCCATGGCGAAGCAAATGCCGAAGCGGAGGGCTTGCAGACCTGAGAAGCAGAGGCGGATTGGATCGCAGAGACGGATCGCTGCACTACAAACACATGGCCGTGGGTCAAACCAATGGAATCCCATTTTGGGGTAGGTGAATTCACCACCCATTTTAGTCTATTTTCGTGGGGATTGGGATGTTCCCTGGGGGTACTGGATGTTGACCCATGGCCACATGGCCGTGGCTCAAAATCATGTACCAAGATATGGCACCTTGGTAGATGGAACCAAAGACTAAAACATGCGGAACCCTGGCTCTTTAATTTTGAGCCACACCCACATGGGTGTGGCTCAGAGCTAAAGACCTAGGGTTACGCAGGTGTTAGCGTTAGAAACCATTTCGCAAGGTGTCATTTTGGTACATGTGTTGAGCCACAGCCACATCTTCGTGTAGCTACCAGAGGCTTTAAGACTTGCGATCGGTGCGAGAGATGCCACGGGAATGAGAAATGGAATGAATCCCATAAAGTAAAATACAAACATCCAGCTGGTGGGTTCCTTTAAGGGGACCCCCAGCTTCATTCCCACATTCCCTGCTGAGCACCAGCACGAAAATTAAACTTCAGGTCCTGATTTACTTCGAGTGTCTCAAAACCCCAGTCAGGTTGGAGCAGCCAGGAATAATAATAATTGTAATACTTCGGGGTGTCTTTATAGGGGACCCAAAAAAATGCTTGGTGTCCTTTTGGGTAGCAAACCGTCATTTGCTTGTTCCCCCGGAAAACAAAATGTCCAGTAAGGGTACCCTCCCATCGACCAACGTGGAAGTGCACAAACCCCTGTAGCAAGACTACTTTCATCTTTCGAAAGGGGCTCTGTGCACTTCCATGCTAGTTGGTGGGAGGGTAGATGCAGATGCCTGTTCAAACCGCCAGGGGAGCAAGAATTTGTGTCCGGAAGCAAGTGAAAGTAGCTTTCCAACCCTTGGTAAAAACTGAAGTTTTTTTGAAGCCCCCTACTAAAGATGACCAGGCCAAGGAAAACAAAACAACACAATAAAGTAAAAACCTGCCAACAGCAGTGGAGATAGACAAAAAAGCCGACAGATGCCTCTGGCTCGGGTGGCCTCCAGAAAAGGACAAGACCAGACCCACTTCAGAAAGTGGAAGTGGTGCGACGTTGGCTTCGTTTTTGCTGTTGCACTCTGATTTGTTTTGATCACTTCGAAACGCCGAAATTGTTGCTTTCTGTTTCAAGGAAAAAGAGGTAGACTTCTAGCATGGGAAGGCCTTATGTCATTTCCCGCCGTGCCCCAACGGGAAGGGACCCGCAGACGAACCTACGAGCGGGGTTTTGCTCATGTCAAGCCTCAGAGCACTGCGATGAGAAACTTCCGGCCATGCGTTCGGGCCATCGATCTGGTCAAAGACTCGAGAGTCAATGTTCTTCTGGACTCTACTGGCTGCTGCGCTAGGCAGGGAATGAGAAATCGAATGACTCCCGTGTTTCCTTGGGGACCCCTGGTTTCATTCCCTCCTGAGCACCAGCAAGTCTATTCTCCATGTTCAACCAGCTGGGAGTGTCTTTTTCATTTTTCTCCATGGTCTTCAACCATTTGGGGGTGTGCAACCCCAAAGATGGCGCCGCGCCCTTGGGGGTGTCCCTTTAAAGCCACACAAAAAAGATTCACGAGCCACCCATTTAGCAAAAAATACCATGCCCGTTTCAGCTGGGGGGTTGCTGGCTTTCGGAAAGAATGGGGCAGATGTCCCGCCTTGAGAATCTTTTGTTGTTGCATTCACGGCTCGCTGATCAACCTTTCAAGTTGTCTTTTAGGGTCTTAGCGAAGAAGCTAACCCTGTTCTCCTACCATCTTCATCACATTTGCATACTCCAAAACCAAAGCCACAGTCAGCTATCTCACGCCAACCACAAACAGGAACGCACGACCCTCGACTTGCTGCTTCGACGTGGCCCAGTGTGAATTGCGTGTGCCAACTCCGCAAACAATGCCGTGAAAATTTCCCGCCCCGCCCCCCCCCCCCCACACACAACAAAAACACACACACACACACAGAGAGACACTCTGAAGACCAAATAGACCAAAGCTGGAGGTGTCTTTGCAGTTGGGCTGGTGCAATTTCCTTGCTCCCAGAACAAAGAGGGAAGCTCAGGGTCTATCCCCAACAGCAAGAATCCCCAGACCCCGGAACCGCCCAGTCCCCAGCTTTCGTTGGAGAAAAACCCGAAGCGACGCCAGCGTCGCCAAAGCCGAGCCCACGCCCACGCTCGGAGGCGGTCGCAGGCGGTCGCAGGCCAAGGGCTCCGGGCTGTCCTGATGCAAATCCAGGATGGCGCCGCGCACGGAGTCCTGTGGCACAAATCAATTGGTCTAAGGGTGGAAATGCATACCCCTTGTGCATAACGGTTCCTTGGCTTCCGTGGTTGCCAACCCACTTCATAAGATGTATATACCCCTTTTAGGGAGAGGGGTATGAACATCAGCAGGCCATAGGTGTCCTTTTTGAGAAAAATGATGGATTTCCCTGGTAGTTGATTTCCCCAAACCTCCAGGGGAAAAAAAATATTTAGGGTTTAACACACCAACCAAAGGGCTTGATTCCAACCATTCTTTTTGGTTGAACATAGATGGATTTCCTTGGTTCACACTTCCCCAAAGCTGGTGGTTGACAAATGGGTGGGATCGGCTTCTCAAAACTAGAATATTCACCAAAAGAAACCTCTAAGGATAGATTCCAACAGTTCTTTTCAACCACGGCTTGGCTCAAACATAGGTGTCCTTTTTGGTTGAAAATAGATGGATTTCCCTGGTAGTTGATTGAACCGCCAGGTAAAAAAACCTCTAGGGAAAATAAAAAGAAGAAAGAAGACGGGCTCTTTTTGCTTCTGGTTTCCCTTTAACACACCAACCAACAGGGGCGTTCCCCGAAAAAAAGACAGAACCAACACTCCCCCTCCCCCCGCCCCATTTGGTGCGTGGATTTCCCTGGTAGTTGATTGAACCGCCAGGTAAAAAACCTCTAGGAAAAATAGAAAGAAGGAAGAAGACGGGCTCTTTTCTGGTTTCCCTTTAACACACCAACCAAAAGGAGCGTTCCGCAAAAAAAGGACGGGACCGACTTCCTCCCCCCCCCCCCCGCCCATTTGGTGCAGACAAAACTCTAGGGTTTGATTCCCATTTTTGGGGGAAAAAAGATGGCCCTGATCCACCCATCTGTACCACCACGTTTTCTAGGGGAAGCTTCCCCATTCTTTCCAGGGATCCTTCTTTTCAGGAAACCATCCTTCAACCCCAGGGGAAACAGCTGGTGTTTGCAAAGAACGATGGCGTCTTCTTCCTTCTTTTTATTTTCCCTAGAGGTTTTTTACCTGGCGGTTCAATCAACTACCAGGGCCATCTATTTTCCCAAAAAATTGGGAATCAAACCCTAGAGTTGTGTCTGCACCAAATGAGCGGGGGAAGTCGGTCCCGTCTTGTTTTCGGGGAACGCCCCCTTTTGGTTGGTGTGTTAAAGGGAAACCAGAAGCAAAAAGAGCCCGTCTTCTTCCTTCTTTTTATTTTCCCTAGAGGTTTTTTACCTAACGATTCAATCAACTACCGGTTTCTCGAGGGTAAACCTTCTTGGGGTTGGTTCAAAGGGCGGCCAAGGGACCGGTGCTCTTTTGCGGTTGGTTTCTTGAAAGGGAGGTCAAGAGGAAAACCACCAGTTTGGGAAGGGACCCATAAACCATATCCATCCCCATGTTGGTTCCTTGAAAAATGCCATCGCCATGTTGCAGGGATCCTTACATTATACACCTGAACATTGCCTTGTAAATGGAGGTTTCCCTTTATGTTGGTGTTGAAAAAACAACATGTTTCAAACGTTCGCAAAATGTATCTTTTAAGGAGCCCTGTGTTGGGTGGGGACGTTAGACATCTGCTATGTGGCACCCAGTTTCTGCCTGTCGTGTCGGAGTCCAAGCCGATGCGAGCTTGGAGCAACGGAGTCTGCTTACCCATCCCCAAGAAGCCAACACGGGTGTGTCTCAAAATTATGGACGCCCCAAAATGTCCGACTTCCTCCTGGCGTCCCTTTTAAAGCCACCCAAAAATGGGGGGGTCCCTCAAAAAAGGGACACACCGGCACGGATTGCAGGTATGAGAGCGGCTGTGGGCTGCGGCTCACCGGCTCACCGGCTCGCCAACCTTGGTGCTTCGACCAAGCAACCTGCGAACATTTGGAAAAAACTGGGGTTGGCAAACAGGGATCCTTACATGCACCTGAACATCGCCTTTGGTGGAAAAGGCCATGTGTTAAATTTGTAAAATGTATCGTTTAAGGAGTCCTGGCAAACAACTGGGGTTGGCAAACATGAGTCACAATCAAAGCCCGGTATGAAACTGGTCGTAATCCCAGAATGTGAAGACTTCAAAGGGCGGCCGCAGAACTAATCCCTTACTAACCAGGGCTGGGGGTTGATTCCAACCATTCCTAGGTCCTGCAGTAGAGAGGTTCGAATAAGGGTACCCTTTTTTCTGTAGTCTACTTTAGTAGGGGAACCCGCCCCCAAAAAGGGGTAAAAGGGCAATACTGGGGGACCTCGATTCTTTTCAACCATCGTTCTTTTCAAACACCGATCGCTGTTTTCCCAGGGTGTTTGGTGGTTTTCTAGAAAGATCCGGATCCCTGGAAAGAATGGAAATGGAAGCTACCCTTAGAAAACCTGGTGGTACAGATGAGTGGATCCGTCTCTCGAGGGTAAACCTTCTTGGGGGTTGGTTCAAAGGGCGGCCAAGGGACCGGTGCTCTTTTTGCGCTTGGTTTCTTGAAAGGGAGAAGAGGAAAACCAACCTGCTTCATGGAAAACTGGATGGCAGACATGTAGATGGATGGCTTGCCCATGGCCCGAAGGAACGAAGTTCATGTCCCCAGCACGTCCCTCACTCCTTCCAGCGCTGGTACCAGGGTGGACGATAGGCCCGGCCCTGCGCGGATGACCATACAAAGCTCATGGCAAAAACCAGGCGAACCGTGACCAGAGCATCTGCTTTAGGCTTAGGACCCACAAAGCGTGCTGAGTTCGACATATCTCTCTCTCTCTCTCTCTTGAGCAGAGCTGACCCTGCACAGGCCCAACTTTTCGCACAAGTCTGCTTGCTTTCTGAGGATTGCCCCAAAACAAAATAAGAAAGAAAACATGAAGGCTCTCCCCCAGTGCGGCGGCCCACCCCACATCAGGATAGACATGAACTTCTGGCCCCGACGGAACGGCCGGGACAATTCATCTTGTGACTGAAACATGCCGACCATTGGGTGTGTCTTTTCTTAGGACCTCCCAAAGTGTCCCGTGTGATTTTACTCAAAGCCACCCAAAAACGGCTTCGCCTTTATTTTATTTTTTTTAAAAGGACGAGCAACCCATGAGGCCGGGTCCCATCCCAGGCTGAAGCCGTAGTCCGCCCCCAATTTCCATGACCATCCCTTCGATGCCTTTTGGCCAAGGTGCACCCAATCAAGTGTTGAAACCATGTTTAAACCACCCAATGTTTCAACACTTCCCCCCTTTTTTAACCGCTTTCTCAAGAAAAGGTACCAGGGGGAATTTCTTTTTTCAAGGCCTCTTTGTGCATCAGGCGAATGGCGCGTGGCACTTCTCGATTCCGTCGACCTCAATGCCAGCGGTGTCTCCAAATGAGTCACCATCAAAACCCGGCACTAAAATGGTCGACCCAGAACCATGTAAAGGCGGCCGCAACTATTTCTGGCTGGGACTGCCCCTCACTAACCGTCATCTACCCGAGTTTTGATTGTGGCTCAGATGAAAACAACCCTGGCCCTCTTGCAAGCAAGGCCCACATCCATGAGAATGGCACCAGGACATTGCCCTGGTGCCCGAAAATGAGTCCCCTTGGCCCCTGGCATATTTCAACCAATTCTCCAGACCCTAGACCCCTCAAAAAGCAGAGGTTCCTCTTAGATCTCTTAGGGATGACTGCCCCCGGATTTATCCTTTCGTTTCCCCTACCGTCTCCTCAAATTAGAGGTTTACCTTTCGGAGTGTGGGCCGGTGAAATCTCCGAGCTCAGGCCTATGCTGTCAAAAGGATAGCTGCCGTCCCAAATCCGGCAAATAGGAGTGGAAAGAATCGGAATTCAGGTCTCTGGATGCGGATTGGTAAACCAGAAAGGGTCGGAAAGGCTTGTGTCTGGAGGATTGAACAAGAACTTTGGGAAGGGGTGTTGACAAAAAACAATGGCAAACACAATTCTAGAAGAAAGCAAGGGTACTTTGAGCGAATATAATTGAAATCCTCTCACGCATGTGCGCAGTAGTCTCTCACCCTCTTCCCAGAGCCTCTTCCCTTTCAAAACACCGCGCTCTTTTGATCCATTCCTGAAATGATAAGTTTTAAAGGACGTCAGGTGCCATTAGTTGGAAGTAGGCATGCCCTTACTTGCGCTACTTCTGGGCAGTTACAATAGCCTCGACATCCGGTGACCTGTTTCTGGATCCAGTGGTTGGCTTGCTACAAAGAGGAGCTCATGAAGTCTTCGGGGAACGTCGGCCGAAGGGAACAGTACTACGAGCATCTGCAAACTTCTGTATCCCGGAATTGAAGCTTTTGTTGCTGGCAGCAATTTGTTTGAAGCCTCCGATCCCCGAAAGAAGGGAAACAACAAGGAGTCTTAAGCATTGCTTGGCTGCAACCCCCAGCTTGTAGAACAAGCAAACAACATCTGCGAACCCCTGCATTGAACATCTCAGCCACCCCAATTTGGGCATATATTTTTTGGGGGGGGAGCCCGTTTTGGTTGGCGTTAAAAGGGAAACGAAAAAGAAACCCACCCGCCCTCCTCCGCTCTTGTGCGCCAAGACCAGGGGATCAGCCCAAACCCTTTAAAAAAGTACGCCGCGCCCATTTGGCGGTGGGTCAAAAGCCCGACCCCCCAGCGAACATCCCACCCCAAAATGGGATGCACCTACCCACAGCGCCATTTCAACCTGAGGACTCGAGGCCCCCACTCCGATGATCGCGGTCGCGGTCCTTCCGCTTCTTCCTGTGACCTCGGGTTCTTCCACTAAATAATGAGATAGATATGACATGAGGTTCATAACGCCCCCTGGAAATAATTTAAACGACATTTGGCATAGAGAAATATATATAGAGCAATAATATGAGAAATATATATATATAGAGAAATAATGAAAAATTGCACAAGAGGTCGGCGATTCGCCCCCTTTGACAGCCGCCCCGTGGCTCCCAAGCACCCACAAAAACGCTGGCCCCCAAAAGGGCCAGGCAGACCTGCGTGTCTCTTGTTCTTCGCATTGGAACTTCATTCTCGCATGCCGTTTTGACGAGCGCCTGCGGCCAAAGTCCCCAACAGTCGGGGTGGATGTCTTTGGGCAGGGATGGTTAAATCAAGTTGCCGAATAAGATCAGCTAAGGCCAAGCAACGCGTACCTCCATGGGTGTCCACAATGGCTCCAAGCTACATTTTCAATATAGCTGGAGTGTGTAAGCTTTAAAAGGGGGTGAGGGGACAACAAAAACTGGACCTATTCCAGTAGAGCCGGCAAAGCCGGTGGGCGGAAGCTTCAAAATATAAAACTATAGTTGTTGCTATCCTTGTGTTCATCTTTCCCTTCTGTGTTGCTTCCTAGAATGAACCAAACAAAAAAAAAGTTCCTCCGAAGGGCTCAAACTTCTGTGAATTGTGGCTACAGTGTTCATGACCACGCCTTTGTCATCATGTGATGGGAGTGAATACCCGATGCCCAACCAAACTTAGTAAAACAAACTTGTAATTAGATGGGGGCACATGTCGACAAATCACCTTGGGCTCTGTGTAGGCCCGTAGGCAGCTTCGTAATAAATCCGAAAAGGGTACCCTCGAAAAGAGACACTGCCAACTAACAGGCGTGGACAGGAGTGACTAGAGCAAGCATGGCAGCAGATCATATGACAAGACAACAGAAATCAACCCCAGAACTTGTCAAAACTGTCCATTGGGTTGACGCTCAAGGGACAAATTCGGGTGAAGCCAACTCCTCGCATAGTCAAGGTGTGAAAGTCATAGTGTCAAATGCCTTGAAAGTCATGGGTTCCAACGTGATGGCGGAAGGAACGCCTGACAAGCCGACTCTTCATAAACAAGGCGTCTGATCGCTTCGTTGTTTTACAATATGTCCAAAACCTGAACAAGGGATCAAGCAATGGACAGTCGTTTAACCCCGTGAGCTATGGCAAAGCGCATTGCGCAGCCGAGTGCCGAGCTTCGCTTCACCTCATCTTCCTAGCCGTGCACAGAACTGCAGGGCTTTGGACTGCGTCCACGTGATATTCAAAATCACCCTCCCACTGTTAAGGGGAAACCCAAGGAGCAATTTTGAGAACCTCCGAAAAAGCAACCCCATTGGCAGACATTGTTGTCCCAGGCTGTTGCAATGTCCTTTGGTCAAAGATCTTGTTGGATTGCCTAACGAAAATGACTTCACTCAACCGCTATGCCGTTCTTGAAGTTCCCGCATGCCGGCGCGAGCAACAAGGACCTCTTGTTCTTGTTCGGGGTCAGAAAGGGCACCGGAAGTCTGGGCTTTGGCCGTGCCGCAGGCTCTCCGCCCAGTAACCGGGGGCCTCCTCAGAAGCTGCAAGCGCTTCTAGCGCCTTGCGCGGATGCCCATGGAAGGTTTTGATGAGAGATTCGGACATCATATCACCCATTGTAGGAGTTTCCATCCAGAAGCCAAAGAGGTTTGGCAGAAGCCATGTTTCTTCTTTGGGAGGCTTCCCTATTTTGAGACAACCCCCCATCTACAAAATCTGTCAAAAGTATGGGTTAACTTCAGATTCTGACCAGGAATCCGAAGACTCCGCCGAGTGAAAATCAATCCCCCCAACTCCATTTATCTAGTATTCCCCATGAGAGGGAAGATGGAACCATCAATGGAGATTTCCAGAAATCACCCGCCTCCCCCCCCCACAAGAAAAAAAAGAAAAAGAAAGGGGGATGTCTTCTCAGCTTCTCCCTGATTCGTTTCCGGATCCATCCGAAGTTGGCCCCAGGGTCCACGCTGCGAATCCCAGAGGGGAAAAACAAAAACCAACAAAAACTTGAGCGTGGCCCTCCCTCTGAATTTTGGGAGGAGTTCAAAGAAACCTTGGCTTCCGTTGGTTTCCCTCAACAAAAACCACTCCGATAGTTACTTCCTGAGTGAGTTGGCCCAAAAAAAAGTCTAAATCCTCACCAACCACTAAAATGGTCTGCTCACAAAAGTGCGTAAAGTCCAGGAGTGAGGAAACGGTCTACCCTCAAAGACCAGCCTCCCCCAGGCCAACCGCAAGGCACGAGCCGAGCGAGCCACAAGCGGGCCTCTCGCTCCGAAGCGCGCGGCTCCTCCCTGCGATTGGGATAGGCCACAAGCCAGTTGCTGGTTGGTTGGTTGGTTGGTTGGTTGGTTGGTTGGTTGGTTGGTTGGTTGGTTGGTTGGTGGGTGGGTGGGTGGGTGGGTGGGTGGGTGGGTGGGTGGGTGGGTGGGTGGGTGGGTGGGTTGGTTGGTTGAGGGAGGGAGGGAGGGAGGGAGGGGAGGAGGGGAGGGGGGGAAGGAGGAAGGGGGGAGGGTGGGGGGAGGAGGAAGGGGGGGAGGGGGCAGGGGGGAGGAGGCAGGTTGTTTGGTTGGCTTGTTGGTCCCAAAGTTTCGCAGTGAAAGGTTGGTGAACTCAGTCCGTGGGCAAAACATGCCTGGTAAACGATTGGAACAAAGCTGCACAATCGCCTGCCAATCTTTGCAATCGACGAATGGCAGATGCAGCACGCTGAACAAAGACAAAAAATGGACATGCGAGAACTCTGTGCCTCGTTCAAGCTGCTGCACCGATATGTGTGTGAAGGTGTCATGCAAAAGTCATCATAGGCGCAACATTTGCATAGCACTTGAAGGCTGGCCGGGTCCTGTGTAACGGACTCACGTTCGCTGCTGGTTCCCCCTTTAAGGGGCCGAGGGTCTGGTTGAGTCAAAAGAAGAGGGCGCCCTTTTCTGGCATCATGTCAAAGGGGAAACCGAGGAAGAAGCACCCTTTGGCTACGAATCAAAATTAGGGACCCTTTGGTGGACATCATTTAGGTGGGGATTTATGTCCACCAACCACTTTTCAGGGAGCTCCCCATCAAAATTCATAGCCATTTCAAGTGACTTCGATTCCTTTTTGCGACGAACCCAAAATATCACGTGGCTCAAGGCTCACTCGATCTCCCTGCACCCCGGGTGCCTCGGAGCTTCCTTCTCCTGAGCCCACCCAGCTGCGAAAAAAAAAAAACGCACCCGCCGCCTTTTTTTCTCACGCGGAACCTCCTTGGGTGCTCGATGAACGTCAGGGCCAGTAGGGGGGTTCCATTTTCCAACAGGAGACTCCGTTCCTCACAGTGGACGGGTGGTTGGTGTCATGTTTGTCTGCCGGGAAAGGCCATCAGAGTTGCTACTCTGAGCTCTCTTTTTCCTGCAATAAGTTTGCCGTCAAATGGATCTGTCCATCTTAACCACATTGCAATTAAATCTGCCGTTTGTGTGCTCGGAATAACAGACTTGCTCAAATGATTCCGCCACAAAGATAGAAAGTGCTCTCTCTGGTGAAGATTCACCAATGGTCCAATGTTCCAATGTTCCACCAATGTGCCAATGTTCCATCCACCAATGTTCCGCCAAATGCCACCAAGTCCAATCTTCCACCAATGTTCCACCAAATCTTCCACCAAATCTTCCACCAAATCTTCCACCACATCTTCCGCCAAATGTTCCGCCACATGATCCAATAGCATCAACCAAGAAAACACAAAAGCTCGCCAGCTTCCAAATGCCGAAGATGAGAATCGGATCCGCATCTCCGGATCGGATCCCCAATTTTTTGTTGACCGACTCGCTAAAGGCTCTCGACCCCCGAGCCCCGCCTGGGAGGTCGGCTCCAGAGGTGCACGCGAGCCCACCGCCTGCTTTAAAAAGTATATATATATATATATATATTAATATGCTTTCGTGTTGTGTTTATTATTAGAGTTTAATTACTATTATTATTGCTAATATTATTGTTGTTGTTATTATTATTATTATTATTATTATTATTATTATTATTATTATTATTATTATTATTATTATTATTATCATCATCATCATTATTATTATTATTATTATTATTATTACTATTACTATTACTATTATTATTATTATTGTTATTATTATTATTATTATTATTATTATTATTATTATTATTATTATTATTATTATTATTATTATTATTATCATCATCATCATCATCATCATCATCATCATCATCATCATCATCATCATCATCATCATCATCATCATCATCATCATCATCATCATCATCATCATCATCATCATCATCATCATCATCATCATCATCATCATCATCATCATCATTATCATCATCATATTATTATTATGATTATTATTAGTAGTATTAGTATTAGTATTAGTATTAGTATTATTATTACTATTATTATTATTATTGTTATTGTTATTATGATTTTCAGTTTATTGTTTCCGAAAGCTCCGTGGCTCGTCGATTTGGCACCTACCCGAAAAGGTACCATTGGTTTTGACCCACAACCGTGTCCCTGAAGACTTCCAAGTGCCTCTTGCTCCCACTTTGATGCCATCTCTCTGGGCACATGGAGCGTGGGGATAGCTTGCAGCTACTTCACACCCAAGTGATGGAGTCCGAACGCGGCCTTCGCGTGAACATGTCGAATGCGCCGCTGTAGCTTTTTCGATGCTTGCCGCGCTTATCGATTTGTTCTGACAACTCGATGGGCAAAAGGTGAAAACCAAGTTGACACTTTGAGACAAACCCCAGGCAAACCATAGAAAACGTCAGTAGGGTATTGTTGCTTCAAAATGAGATTCAGGAAGAGGGTGGAGCCCCGGAATTCACTCCTTGGTTGCTGTTGACCGTCTGCAAAATGTTGTGAACTTGTGGGCCCAATTCGGAAAATCCGACCTGTTTCAACCAAAAAGTTATTCAGTCCAAAGATCCAAATAGCCATAAGGCTGTGGGTCAAAAATAGGTACCACAAATGGAATGTTAAATGGAAAGAAGGACTAAAACCTGCGGTCCCCTGGTGGTTCAATTTTGACCCATACCCATAAAGACTCGATAGTCCAAACCTGTTTTTTGTGCAGCAACCAACTTGCCCGGACAGTTGCGCTGAGGCCGGCACGGGTGTGGGGAAGCTCCACTGGCCTGAACAGTGTCATTTCAGGGCGTGTTGGTGACCTTACTGGAGGACTGGCCGGACAACAAAAAGAACTGTTCAGCGTGGAAAATGGGAGGATGTGGCGTTAACCAAAAGGTCTGTCAGCTGAGTAGATCTGCAACATTTACAACATATCCACACCTGAAGAATTGGATCCTCTTTGCCATGGTGAGCTCGTTTTACCCCCGGGTGAGCTTGCCACAAAGTGTGGAGTTTCGATGGTTGGCCAGAAAAAGTTCTTGTTTTTTTTGTTGGTCGGTCCTGCCCAATAAAACCCCAGAGCAAGGGGGGTCAAATCCAAATCCAGTTCCCACCAATCCACCAATTGAGGGCCACCCGAGACCCTTCCTACAAACGGGGCACCCAGAACAACAGGTCAAAGAAGTTCCAGGATGAATAGCCAGCCAACCAGCAGCTCTTAAGAGGAGAAGAAAAGTAACCTCCCAACAAACATGGAAATGCACCGGCTCTTTTGGAAGACTAGTGTTCTCTCGAAAAATATTTGTTGCCCCAATTTATTGACAGGGGGGTGTCCCTGGGTTTGGTGGGGAATCATACTTTTGGAGGGGACCACCCCCTATTAATAGGGGTCAACATTGTCAAGATGGGAGACTGCTAGAGACCAAAAACAGATGACGCAAACATGTCTGGCGTTAGACTAAGCGCCTGAAGTACAAATTTCCTGTTCTCAAGATGCCTCACTGGCAGTCTCAGATGTAGCGGCTCCACAGGCATGGCGGGGGGGGGGGGGGGCAACCCTTTGGATGCAAAGTGCCTGGCGCTCTGTTTGCTGATGAGTGTATGAAAAGCGCCCATGTCCAAGTCAATGCATTGTGTTAGACAGAACGAAATCCATAAAACCCAGGAAGCAGAGCAAGCGACCCAGCAAGCCAAGCAAGCAAACAAATCATTTCAGGGCAAAAAAAGAGCTGTGATTCAAACCAAAGCATACGCAATACGCAGACAAGACTGCGAGCAAGCAAGACACATCCTCACCTCTGATGCAAGGAGGAGAAACAACAAACCAACCAACCAACCAACCAACCAACCAACCAACCAACCAACCAACCAACCAACCAACCAACCAACCAACCAACCCACCAAGCAAGCAAGCAAGCAAGCAAGCAAGCAAGCAAGCAAGCAAGCAAGCAAGCAAGCAAGCAAGCAAGCAAGCAAGCAAGCAAGCAAGCAATGAAGCAAGCAACCAAGCAACCAACCAAGCAACCAAGCAACTAAGCACGCAAACACAAAACCCCCAAAGCGGCGCCATCCACGAGGCTGCAACGGCTGACTCCCTCGCCTTGTGGAGGCGGTGGATAGGGTGCTGCCTGCCAAGCTTCCGGTTTCTGGAGCGGTTGGGGCTGGTGTCCCATACGAACCTTCGACGCTTCGAATCCTACGTTTGGAGAGGCTCTCCCATGGGATCACGTCTGAAAAAATCGGACCCAGTCTTGGATTCGCATCCCAGGCGTGGATTTTTCCAGCTCCGGGAAATAGAGTCCGCGGATCTGTGATACCAACAAGGGGCTTACCCAAAGACGAAGCCCCCTGAAAGGGGGGGAGTCCCTTGGATCACAGGGGATAAACCCCCCCCCATCGAGACCTGTGAACCTCTGAACCTGCTGCAAGATCACGTACATACGGTTGCAAGTGGTGACTGGTTGGGCGTTTTGCAAAGCCGTAGCAAAAGGACCGGTAAAAGATGTGTTATTATTTTTTTCTGGCAGCTTCGTAGTGCAATTGAGTAGCCTGCCCAGCGGCAAGTGCAAGTGGCCGACTACCAGGCAGCAGCAACCGAGCCAAGCGAGTCCCCTCAGTGCTCAATTGATGGCAACCGGCAAGCACAAACGCGAGATGACCCTCTTACCAGCATTCATGGAATTGGGCGCGCATGTTTAAGACAGTAGGAGTCCAAACTCCTGGATATGTTTGACCGAATATCACATAATCCCCCCAGTATATAAGTGAAAGTTCACAGTTTGCGGCTTTACAAGCTTTCGCCATCGACAATAGCAAGCCCCGACAGCCCGACCACACCTCCACGCTAAGTCTCGGGGGCGCTGCGGGCGGCGGTGGAACATGGTGCTCCACCTTGGCATTCAAAGGGTTGGGCTAACCCCTTGCACATGGTTCTAGGGATACCTTCCATGTTCATTCTTTCCAGGGATCCTTCTTTCTAGGAAACCTCCGGAAACGCAGGGAAAATGGCCGGTTTTGAAAAGAACGATGGTTGAAAAGAATGGGGAATCAAGCCCTAGAATGGTGAATCTTACTGGGGAACCACCTACGTGACTTGCGATCAGCGCGATAGCTAGGGAATGACCGAGCCCGGGTGGTGGGAATGAACCTAGGGATTCCCTTAAAGGAAACCATAAGGCGATGGTATTATAGGGGTCATTCCCTCATGAGAACCAGCAAGGTGATTTGGTGGGCATGAATCCCCACCGACTTTAGTTTTGATTGAGTCCCCTATTAAAATTCACACCCTGCTCAAGCCAATGCATAAACGACACGCTTGGTTTCCCAAGCTGACCACGGTCCTGTTATGAAAACACAAACCTGCCCAGCCTTGAACCCCAACCCCCCGTAGTAGCTGGCATGGGCACGTTGCATGTTATTGGGAACATGCGCAGAGAATGGGTGCATCTTTTGACTAGGGGTACCCAGAAAATGGTTCGTTCCCTTCAAAACCACTCCAACAGACGTACCTTCAACAAAAAGACATGCCAATACAAAGCCGTGGCCTTATTGCCATTGTGCTGGCTGTCACGCAAACAATGTCGAGCATTCAGAGGTAAGGTGCCAAGGTGATGTCCCTTCGGGCTTCAATCTGAAGGCGCGTAAAGCAAAGAACCACCATTTTCAGAGTGGCGCCACGCAGTGAATCCTATTGGAAGCAACTCGCAATTGCAAAGCATGGGAAAGTACACGCATTCAAGGAGCTGTAGAAAGCATGGCAACGTCACTTTCCCCTCACAATGCCCAGATTCATGCTCCTGCGATTGTTCTTCAATCGGATGACAAGGCCATGGAACCAATCGGGACATCCTCCCCGACCGAACCCCCGAGAGAGTCGAACCCCCGAGAGATCTGGGCCAGCGACATACGTCATGGGCGCCCAGTCCTAAGGGACAGCCGAGTCATCAAAGCGCATTGGCCAAAAACCACTCACCAGGCTGAGTCGGGTGGGCCAAAACTGAACCACCAGAATTGAGTTGGACCGCAGGTTTTGGGCCTTGGCAACCCATTTGTCAGGGCAACCCATTTTGGGGTTACCCTATTTTTGACCCACGGCCATCTGATTGGCACCATTCCCAGAGGGGATGAGCAGCGAGCATGGCTTGGATCCCGAATCTCAAATCCCGAAAATGTGGTTTAATCCCGACATGTGATTAAATCCCGATTCACGCAACTGGATCGCCACTCAAGCGATCCCTCAGCTGACGTCCTGGAAGTGCCCATGGGAGTCAGCATGTTCCACCTCAGTCCAGCGAATCGAATCCCAACTCTCAGTGGTCTGCTGGTCTTGTTTCGGGAAAGCCGAGGGAAGAACCTAGTGTCGCCCAGGGCTGGCCTTCTCCACAGCCTCGCTTGAAAAGGGTGTCGTCTTCACTAGGCGGGCTGCTTATTTCTCCCGCAATCAGCGGAAAAGGCAAGCCATGGTCGCTCCAGTCCTTCCATTCGGGCACCACAACTTGGGCGCCAAGATCGAAGCCAAGGCCTGTCCCCAAGTCCTCCTGCCGCACCCCACCGGGCGCTCGGGCCATTCCGTCCAGCATGGCCTGTCCAGCGGCCGATCTCAACACCGCCAAGTCTTGGCGAAGAACATACAAGTCTTCAGCCGGTCGGCCATGCGAAGCGGAAACTAAGTAAAGCCAAGCGCCGCAGGTTTGCCCATTTACACCAGTGCCGAACATGGAAGCTATCTGTAGCTCAAATATTGAAGCGATCAAATGAGCGTTCAGTTTGCAGTCGAATTCAAGCCAAATTCCAAGGTACACACCTTGCAAAGTCAAGTTTGCACCTCAAATACCGTCTTGCTTTATATACGTTTCACCCAAAACTATCTAACAAGACCTCTCTGACCAGAAAAAGACCAACCTATCATCAACAAACCTATGCATTCAACATGTGTACATATCTGGTACATGTTGGTGTTAGCAATCTTGTTTTGTGTCATGCTGAAATGCTGGCGATTGTTCCAAAATCGCACCGACGCCACTGTCTGCACTAGATTTGACACGCTAAGCGTCATGTTGCACATGGGTTGGAGGGAATTGAAGGGTACCTTTGTGCACCTTGGTTCAAAGGGAAACGTCCCCCTGTTTGACACATTCCGCATGGCAGATGTTGTAGACCCATGCACTAAAATGCTTCGCTCGCGAGACAAGGAAGGGTAATTTAATCACAATCTAAGATCTGCTGCCCCGAACGCTGTGATGCAACCACAGCGCGAAGCTCCGAATCGCATGCTTGCATGCGGGTGTGGGTTCTTTTCTTCCAGAGGTTCCTCTTCTTGGGGTGATTAGGGAAACCAAAACCAAAACAACCGTTTGTGGTCTATTTTGACATAACCTGATGCTCTGTTGGCACCGCTTTGGGCCATGAACGACTGCCTTCGGGGTCGAAGTCCTTGCGAACAGCACCATCCATCGCCAATCTCCCCCCCCTTCCAACAACACCCAAACCCGCCCAGCCTGGTTGCACCACATCTGGCCGTCGGCCTTCGGGCTTGAGAACAGAGCATCGGAAACTTCGGATCTCTTTCAAACACGGAAGCGGATAGGCGGCCCAAGAGGAAGAGGAGTCTTGCAAAACTTCCTGACAGCTTCCATGATAGGAAGGGCAGTGCTGACGCATTAGCACAAAGCCAGAGCCCTTCCAATGCAAATCAAAGAATCTGCTTTGGCTTTGTTCAATGAGGCAGCTGGGAGGAGATGCTGGAACGCCTCTCAACCTGCGGAATTTCGCTGTCGTTGGTCGTGTAATCCTGATGCACTCACTGCTCATGTCCTGGTTACATGCTGAGACTTACTCGATATGTAGGCCCTTTGGTGTGCGCAAACCACTTCCAACATCTTTCCCCATCACTTTGGTACAACAATGTACAATATCCAGGTGCATCCTTTTCGAAACGACTGTCTCGAAGAGGTAGGCAAGGGAACCAGGACGGTCTGGCTTTCAGAACCTTCCTGCTCGCAATATCCAAATCCTTCTGGACACTGGGGAAGTCATAAGAGCCAGCAAGTCAAACACTGAAACAACCAATGCGACGCAACATCTCCTGAGTCTTCAGGGCACCCTATAATTCCCCTTAACACATCAGCCCCACCAAGGGACACTCACCTTTCACGGGCCAAGAAGGTGATGTTTAAAACCACCAAAAAAAGGAAATATGGGTATGGGTCAAAATTAAACCACCAAAAAACCGCAGGCTTTAGTGCATGTTTCCATCTACCAGGATTCCATGTTGGGGTTACCCTATTTTTGACCCACAGCCAAAAAGGGACCGCTGGTCTTGCAGCCGAAACGTCCTGTCAATCGCCCGCCTGAAGCATCGCTTCGTTGACCGAGCCGTCCTATGGGCACCATGCTGGATTGCTAAGACATGCTCTGGCCGGCTTATTGGCCACTACTCAAATCGGGGGTCATCCGTAACTGGCGCGCAATTGCCCACGAACATTATGAATCAGTCACGGGCAAATTGGTCTTCTGGGAACCCCCCGCAAAAAAAAAAAAAACAAAGTGAATGGCCTGCGACATGCTATCGCAATGACTGTGGCCGAGACTTTTTGCCAGAGGAATGGAGTTCCTTCTTGAAGGGGTAGGGTACTGAGTGGCTACTAACCATGGCTACCACTTACCATGCTTGTGTGAGTTATAATTACTTCTCAGGATTGCCAACGACTTATGCACTAGGTGCCCTCCCCCCTTCAACCCTTCAAGTAGTCAGTTCGTGCAAAGCTTTCTCCGTGGAAGGCAGATTTTTTAACGCCTCCGGCTCAGACCGCCGACATTAAAGGCCTGTTTTTGTGTAGCACTTACAGCAACATCTCCAGCATCACCTGCATCATCCGCATCATCGGCAAACATTGATACGGATGATGCAGGTGATGCTGGGGATGTTGCCCACGCTGGGGAAATAGAGGACATGAAGTGAATGAAGAGGACATAAGTGAAGGAAAGAAAGTGAAGGGAAATGAAGGAAGTGAAGGAAGTGAAGGGAAATGAAGGGAACTGAGAAATGAAAGCTTAAGGGTTTAACATCTAAAATCTGAGTGGCTTAACGTGTTAAAATCCTAATAGCATAAAGTCTGAACATCTTAATGGCATCTTTTCCAACCTTCCCCCCTAAGACTCCCAAAGATCTGTGCCCCCCTTCCCCCCCCCCCCACCACCCCCCCCAAAAAAAAAATATTCCCCAAGATCTTCTCCCCCCTTTCCCCGCTAAGATCTTTTCCCCCATTTTTCCCCACTAAGATATTTTCCTCCTCCTAAGATCTTTTCACCCATTCCCCCACTAAGATCGTTTCCCCTCGTTTTTGCTTTAAGATCTTTGACCCTTTGTGCCCTTTTTTTTCAGAAGGGGAGAGGGGGAAAAGATGTTAGGGGGGAATGGGGACAAAGATCTTAGGGGGGGAAGGGGGGAAGGGCCCCCCCCCCCAAGATCTTCTCCTCCCTTTCTCCCCGGAAGATCTTTTCCACCTTTTTCCCCACCAAGATCTGTGCCCCCCTTTCCCCCCCTTCCCCCTTCCCCCCCTAAGATCTTCTTCCCCATTTCCCCCCTAACATCTTTTCCCCCTATCCACTCCTGAAAAAAAAGGGCACAAAGGGTCAAAGATCTTAAAGGCGTAGCGGGGAACGGGGGAGAAGGTCGTTGGAGGAAGATCTAAAAGGAATAGATCCTAGAAGGGGAAACAGGCCTACAATGTCGGCGGTCTGAGCTGGAGGCATCATTTTCTTTTTCCAGCCTCATGCAAACAGGCCTCATGCAAACAGGCCTCATGCAAACAGGCCTCATGTGAGGAGCCACCGAACCCATTGGTAAGTGTTTAGATCGTCCTCGCGCTCACCCCCTGATTAACCAGGAACCGAACCCACTCAAATGGGGATATTTCTCAAAGTGAGGGTCTGAATCTTCCAGGTGGTTATTTTGTCGCTTCCTTTCGGATTCAAAGACCAAAAAAGAAAAAAACCATCAGTCGGCGGCCCGTTGACGCCTCGGCCGGCCCCAACTCTCGGCTCCCTTGCCTCGAACATGGTGTCCGGAAGGCCATCCACCTGCAGGATTCATCGGAAGGCTCGTCTGTTGGGGGGAGTTCTCCAACCTATTCGTTTTAAAGGGAATCCAACAGGAAAACCGAAATCCATGTTGTTTTGGGGATGTTTTCTCCTTTGAATTCAATGGACAATGGAAGTCCGTTCTTTTGTTGGGAGACTATTCTGAGGCAAAGCCATGCGAAGGAAGGCGCTTTAAAGCATTGTATCAAAGGCAAACCAAGCGGAAACCGGCAAAACCTTTGGGGTTTTAAAGGAACAATGAGACAATCGCATAGCAGGTTTGTGAGATTGAACTTTGTGATTGTCTGCTACTGGATACGTACCTTAATTTTCCAGCGCCAGCAGCACAGTAAGTGTGCCCCAAGTCATCTCCTTTGCTGCGGATGGTGAATATGGGTGTATCTCTTTCTGAGGGTACACTTTGTGGGGTTGCGCCGAAGGCAGGCAGGCAAGCGAGAGAGAGAGAGAGAGAGAGAGAGAGAGAGAGAGCGAGAGCGAGAGCGAGAGCGAGAGCGAGAGCGAGAGCGAGAGCGAGAGCGAGAGCGAGAGCGAGAGCGAGAGCGAGAGCGAGAGGAGGGAGGGGAGGGAGGGGAGGGAGGGAGGGAGGGAGGGAGGGAGGGAGGGAAGGAGCCCCGCATCTGGCCCCACAGTGCCTCCGTTTCCGTTTCCTGTCCTGCGCCGTTGCACGCAGAGCGTCTGGAACCCTCAGGGGCTTCCGAAAATGCCCGAAGAGCATCTCCACGTCAGCCAGTGTTGAGTTTTTGCCCACATACTGCGGATGGACACAATCCACTTCACACCAGGGTGCTTGTCGAACTGGCCAAGACCTGACAGGTGCCTTTTTCTTTGGGTCGGGCGGTGGGCAGGCGTTTTAAGCAGCTCGTTTTTTGAGCATGAGGCGTGACGAAAGTTGCTGCACCTATAGAAACTCTGCTCCAACATGTTGATGCGAGACTGCGGGAAACAAAACTGTCAAGAGCTCAACTCATGTCAAAGGCAGTCCACTTGCGAGTTTGCAAGGATTATTGCACATTGCACGCAATCTAGCAACCTGGAAGAATAAGATGCCCTTTTCAAAAGATATCCTTGCGGTCTGCGGGAGTTGTCCCAAACAGCTCGGTTTCCAAACACGTGAAAAAGGTCCCTGCCTGAATTCTAGCCTCCAGCACTGAACGGATGCAACGCAGGACTTCGCTTCTCGATTGGAAGATAGAGAAACCTGTGACGATGATGCAGAAACCTAATCCTCGAGAAAGGGCATGTCCTTAGACGGGTGTGTCTGTTTCAGTGGACCCCCAAAATGGTGGTTGCCCGTCTGGTTCCCTTTAAAACCACCAAAGAAAGGTCCCTAAAAAAAAACACACACACACACATACATACACACCAATATCAAATTTTGGCATTGTACTACATGTTGTCACTGGGCTCCCTCCCATTCGATGAGACTGTGTCGCCATTTTGGTCAAAGTCAGACCCCGAGATCCTGGCTTCTTTTCGGTTTCCCTCTCAACCAACCTGAAAGAGTCAGCTTCCTGCTATTTGGAGGTTCGGGGGTTTCCCATGTTCCCACAATCCAATCCACCAACTCAGGGCCTGAACAACGGTGGCGCCCCAAAAAGCGGGGAACGAAGCCGACTGCGCCGGGAAGGGACCCGGCGCGAACCCGAGAAGCCGAGAGTCAGGCCTTGTACATGGCGTCGAAGCCATGCACCTGGATGCGTGCTTTTCCCGAAGAACGGCGGCCTTCCCTCGGTTGCGAAATCTGCTCCCCCGAAAAGTTTGACTGCTGGTTTAATACGGAAAACCCATGAGTTGGCAAAAAAAAACATATAAGTCCCAACATCCCTTGGCAAAATGCACCAAAGTTCCCTTTGGGGCTTCCTTTCCAGGGAGACCTCAGAGCCATCTGAGTCTCGTGCTGGAAGGCAGTCCACGGGCCTCGGAATGGAAGCGCATCTGATTGGGCGATTTGGTTGCCACGCTCGGTAGATGTAGGGGAGGGAAGAGAATGCCGAGTGACCATGGGTTGGAAATGCGCCATGTACGTTCATCCACTGTAACAAACATCATTTTTTTGTATGTTGTCACCAATGGGGCTCCATGGAATTGGAACTAACATTCTCTGGGCAAACCCAATCCCATCGCAAGGCACGAGCAATGCGCTGAACCATGATGGTCTTGAGGGGTATTCAGACCAGAGTCTAAAGATCCAACCCAATAGCAGAAGAGCATGTAGGCTTGAACATCAAAGAACACGTTGATTAGATGCGCCATGCTGGGCAGCGCGCATCTCGAAGTCGGCCATGGCGGGGTAAAAGTCGGCCGGCGGCGACCAGCCCTGGCGCACAGCGAATGAGAAAGATGCACCTGGACCCGTGGGCTTCAACACAAAGCAGATCGTCTCCGAATTCGGAAGCAGCTGGCCTTGCGCCAAGGCAAGTGTCCGAGCCACACAGGCCAAAATGGGTCTTTGGCTTGGAGCGCAAAGTTGGTCATTCACAGGGCGTCTGCAATAAAAACCGGTTGCCGAAGCTTCTCATTTTGAAAAAAGCCAGGGCAAGCCATCTGGTCCTCCCACGACTCGGGCCTGATCTTGATAGTCCTGGGCAGCTCTTCAAATGGATACCCTCCTAAAACAAACATAGAACCTGTACAGGGGTTGCTGGAAGACATTGTTTCTTTTAAGGGAACCCCTGTGCAGGTTCTATGGTTGTTTTTGGGAGGGTACAATGCTTGAAATGTGGGCATGGTCACGGGTTCCCCCTCTTTCTTCGAAGCGTCCTACGCGCATGTCAGAATTGCTTGCACGTGTCTGGCTTTGCTGGAGTTTGCTGCCTCAGCGAAAGTACAAGCTGCAAAACCACGACACGTGGCCTGCGTCCTCGCATGCTCAAACAACATCGCCGGAAATGGGCAAACGTTGCTATCCGGAGCCAGAAAGAACCCGCAGTGGAAGTGTTGCGCCTTTGTTGGGGCAGACATGCACAGTTTCAGGGTCCCGACTTTGACCCATCAAAGTCCTCCCTCAAGACACGCGCACACACACACACAAAAAAGCACAATAAAAACAATCCGAGCCCAACCAACCAACCAACCAACCAACCAACCAACCAACCAATCAACAAACAAACAAACAAACAAACAAACAAACAGACAGACAGACAGACAGACAAACAAACAAAACCGAAAACAAAAACACAAAATCATCACAAAAACAAGCAAGCAAGCAAGCAAGCAAGCAAGCAAGCAAGCAAGCAAGCAAGCAAAGCAAAGCAAAGCAAAGCAAAGCAAAGCAAAGCAAAGCAAAGCAAAGCAAGCAAGCAAAAACGCAAGCAAAAACGCAAGCAAAAGAGCAAGGAAAGAGCTAGCAAGCAAGCAAGCAGAATTCGCCCGGTTGGCCTTCTTCCCACTTTGGCCTTCTTCCTTGAAAGTTCGTCAAAGGTTCCGTCACCAAACGGATCTGTTTTGCCATGTTGGGGAGTCCAACCTTAAAACGACAGACCCAAAAGGGCCTCTTTCCAATGGAACAGGCTTCCCTGACGGAAGTCGTTCTCGGATCGTCAGCTGAGGAATTGGGAGGGCAAAGCAATGGAACCGGCCTGCGTCAGTATCCACCTTACCTGGCCCAACTCTGGGGTGTGCCAAAAACTGTGTTTGTTTTTGCTTAGATTCTGGTCCATCTGGGGCCTGCTTTTCGAGGCTCGGTGCCCTTCTCGGGTGAAACCGAAAGGAAACCAGCTTTTCTCGGTTGCTTTCTGCTCCCCTTGCTAAAAGTTTAACTTCTAGTGGTTTAATACGGAAAACCCATTAGTTTGCAAAAAGTTGAAGTCCTAACATCCAAGCAAAAAGCATCAAAGTTTTGGAGGTCCCAATCCAGATCCCTTTGCACAAACCCTAGGCCCCAAGATGGACAGGTCTCGGGGGCAAAGGCTCCGGTCCTGTGCCATAGAGGCGTCCCAGGATCGCCAGGTCACGCTGTTGCCTCGCTCCGGTGGCAAATCCCCATCCAACTCCCGAACATGGGCTGGGGTATGGGTCAAAATAAACCCACCAGAAAACCGCAGGCTTTCGTCTTTGGTCCCATTCATCAGGGTTCCATTTTTGGGTACGCAGTTTTGACCCACAGCCAGTTGTTTGTAGGACGTGTTTCAAGGGTTCACTATTGCAATTCATGGTGGATCGCCTAGGCCCTAGGCCTTCTTGGCAGACCGTTGCACTTTCCCACATGCTTGGGCTTGTTTTTAGTGGGCTTCTGAGATCCGGTTGGCGAACTAAGATCTATGCATCCTATGGCCATATACGCCTTCCTCTTCTGTGGGATTCGCAAAACAACGTCTATCTTGTCTTCCGGGCAACGGCACACATCTTATTTGGGTGTGAGATCTGATCCGTTGGTGAGCATCATTTACATAGGGCTTCATCTCAACCAACCATCTGGGAGGGTTCCCCCATGAAACTCATAGTCGCCCATCGTCATGGCAAGAATCTTCCGGGTTCCTGTGTCCCCTTTCACATCACACTCCCAACAAGCAGCCCCGAAAGTCAGCTTTGAATCACCCAGTTCCTGGAAATAGCAGGATCAAGCCTGTCACCCAGAAAGGAGACGGCAGGAACAAACCGGGAAAAACGGCTGGGGCAAAAAGCCCTTGCCCGCGCCAGCCTGAGAATGCTCAGCAACAGGGCTCCAAGCTCAAATACTGCTTTCAGCCAAACAAACAATAAAAAGAAAGAGAAAGAGAAGGAAAAGAGAAAAGAAGACAGAAACAAAAGCTATGGGAGAGACTGATGTAGAGAAGAAAACAGAGGTGTAAGGGGAGGGGGGAAGAGAGACGCAAAGAGAAAGCTGAAGAGAAAGGTAAAGGGAGAAGAGCCGAGGAGACAGGCAAAGAGAGAGCTTAGGGTGGAAGAGAAAGAGAAGTGGCTAGATAAAGCCCCGCCAGACAAGAGAAGCACAGAAAAATTGAAGAAGGAACACCAAAAGAGACAGAGAGAGAGAGAGAGAGAGGGAGAGAGCGAGAGAGAGAGAGAGAGAGAGAGACAGAGAGACAGATTAGGGTAAGAAGTGTGCAAAGATGCAGGCTAGGGCGGATGGAAGTAGAGAGAAACAGGGAGAGGAAGAGAAAGGCACAGGCACGTAGAGATGGAGAGCCAGAAAGCTGAGAAAAAGAGAGAGCACAACAGAAAGAAAGTTCAAGGCAAAGAAACGAAGGGAAAGAGAGGGAGAGAGACTTAAGTAGAGAGACGGGAAAACAGGGGAAAGAGAGGCAGAAAGACAGGAGAGAAACAGACTGACAGAGCGGGAGACAAAACCGAAACGAACAAGTAAGGTCGCTTGCTTGCTTGCTTGCCTGCCTGCTTCCTCCCTCCCTCCCTCCCTCCCTGCCTGCCTCCCTCCCTCCCTCCCTTGCTTGCTTGCTTGCTTGCTTGCTTGTTTGCTTGCTTGCTTCCTTGGCCGCTTTCGTGCGTACGCGTTTGCTTCATTAATTGCTTCCTTGCCTCCGTCCTTCCTCGCTTTCTCGCTTGCTCGCTTGCTGGCATGCTCGCTCGCTCGCTCGCTCGCTTGCTTGCTCGCTTGTTCGATCGCGTATGTTCTTGCTTCCTTTCCTTCCTTCCTTCCTTCCTTCCTTCCTTCCTTCCCTTTCCTTTCCGTTCCTTTCCTTTCCTTTCCTTTCCTTTCCTTCCTTCCTTCCTTCCTTCCCTTTCCTTTCCTTTCCTTTCCTTTCCTTTCCTTTCCTTCCTTCCTTCCTTCCTTCCTTCACTCCTTTCTTCCTTCCTTCCCTCCCTCCCTCCCTCCTTGCTTCCTTCCTTGCTTCCTTCCTTCCTTCCTTCCCTTTCCTTTCCTTTCCTTTCCTTTCCTTTCCTTTCCTTTCCTTTCCTTTCCTTTCCTTTCCTTTCCTTTCCTTTCCTTTCCTTTCCTTCCTTCCTTCCTTCACTCCTTTCTTCCTTCCTTCCCTCCCTCCCTCCCTCCTTGCTTCCTTCCTTGCTTCCTTCCTTGCTTCCTTCCTTCCTTCCTTCCTCCCTCCCTCCCTCCCTCCCTCCCTCCCTTCCTGCCTCGCTTGTTGGCTTGCTTGCTTGCTTGCTTGCTTGCTTGCTTGCTTGCTTGCTGGCTCGCTCGCTCGCTCACTTGCTTGCTTGCCTCCTTGCCCCCTTGGTTGCATGCTTGCGTGCTTCCTTGCTTGTTTGCCTGCTGCCTTGCCTGCTTCCTTGCTTCCTTTCTCGCCTGCTTGCTTGCGTGCGTACGGGCTTGCTATCTATCTATCGATATCTGTCTTTCTTTCTTTCTCGGTGCCAGGGAAAGCATGCGTGTGATGCCCCCTTGGCGTCAGTGGCTGTGGTTCCCGCAGAAGGGGATAGCCTGCAGGATGTGCTAGTAGGAACACCACGCTGAGATGTCTTTCCCTTCGGACGAACACATGGGTGTGGGTCAAAAGTAGGTACCAAAAATGGAACTCGCGTACATGGAAACAAAGACTACAACCTGCCGTCCCCTGATAAAAGTTTGACCCATACCCACATCTCTGATCGGTAGACTTGAGTTTCCATTTGATTTAAAATTTCTGGAGCTTCCTTTTCAGATTTGGAACTGGGTTTCCATTTGATTTAGTATTGCTGGAGCTTCCTTTTGAGATTTGGAACTGAGTTTCCATTTGACTTAGTATCGGTAGACTTGAGTTTCCATTTGATTTAGTATTGCTGGAGCTTCCTTTTCAGATTTGGAACTCGGTTTCCATTTGATTTAGTATTGCTGGAGCTTCCTTTTGAGATTTGGAACTGAGTTTCCATTTGATTTAGTATCGGTAGACTTGAGTTTCCATTTGATTTAGTATTGCTGGAGCTTCCTTTTGAGATTTGGAACTGAGTTTCCATTTGATTTAGTATCGGTAGACTTGAGTTTCCATTTGATTTAATATTGCTGGAGCTTCCTTTTCAGGTTTGGAACTGGGTTTCCATTTGATTTAGTATTGCTGGAGCTTCCTTTTCAGATTTGGAACTGGGTTTCCATTTGATTTAGTATCGGTAGACTTGCGTTTCCATTTGCTTTAGTATTGCTGGAGCTTCCTTTTCAGATTTGGAACTGGGTTTCCATTTGATTTAGTATTGCTGGAGCTTACTTTTTGAGATTTGGAACTGAGTTTCTATTTGTTTTAGCATCGGTAGACTTGAGTTTCCATTTGATTTAGTATTGCTGGAGCTTCCTTTTCAGATTTGGAACTGGGTTTCCATTTGATTTAGTATTGCTGGAGCTTCCTTTTGAGATTTGGAACTGGGAACTGAGTTTCCAATTGATTTAGTATCGGTAGACTTGAGTTTCCATTTGATTTAGTATCGGTAGACTTGAGTTTCCATTTGATTTAGTATTGCTGGAGCTTGCTTTTGTTTTTCTTGGGGTGGCCAGGCAACAAGACTTTATTTCGGGGGCCCCGGAAAGAATGTCAAGTTGGGGGCTGGAGTACTACCCCCTTTTGTGGGTTTGATTGTGGGCAGGTTTTAAACAAGAGACATGTAAGAAAACATGGGCTTGGGAAAGCTGACAGTTTTGGATTTAAGGAACAAGGTACCAAAGATCCAAGGACCAGGTGTTGGCTTGGCTATCTCTCCTCTCCTTTCTCTCTTTCTTGTTTTTTGGGGGGGATTTTTTTTGCGCGGGTGGCGGGTGCCTGTCTTTATTCCAGGTGCATTTATCATTCCTGAAAGCATCGCGAAGGGTTCTTCCGTGCGGAGCTCTTGGACAAGTTACACAGAGCCAAGTTGCACAGAGCCAAGTTGCACAGATCCAAGTTACATAGAGCCAAGTTACATAGAGCCAAGTTACATAGAGCCAAGTTACATAGAGCCAAGTTACATAGAGCCAAGTTACATAGAGCCAAGTTACATAGAGCCAAGTTACATAGAGCCAAGCCAAGTTACAAGTTACATAGAGCCAAGTTACATAGAGCCAAGTTACATAGAGCCAAGTTACATAGAGCCAAGTTACATAGAGCCAAGTTACATAGAGCCAAGTTACATAGAGCACATAGAGCCAAGTGAGCACAGAGCCAAGTGAGCCACAGAGCCAAGTGAGCCACAGAGCCAAGTGAGCCAAGTGAGCCAAGTGAGCCAAGTGGCACAGAGCCAAGTTGGCACAGAGCCAAGTGGCACAGAGAGCCAAGTGAGCCAAGTGGCACAGAGCCAAGTGGCACAGAGCCAAGTGGCACAGAGCCAACAGAGCCAAGTGGCACAGAGCCAAGTGGCACAGAGCCAAGTGGCGCAGAGCCAAGTGGCACAGAGCCAAGTGGCACAGAGCCAAGTGGCACAGAGCCAAGTGGCACAGAGCCAAGTGGCACAGAGCCAAGGTTAGGTAGAGCTTGCCTAGAGCTTCGGCGTAAGCAGCTATGTAAGTTAGTTCAGGTTTCTAAGGCGCCGGGGCGGGAGTTTGATCATCGCTCGGGATTGCGACCCTCTGCGGGGATCCGCGTGGTCGATGTTAAACACTGAGGACTTTTTACGATTTCTGCGGTGCGCGCGCGACCCTCTGCGGAGATTCGCGTGGTCGAGGTTCAAAACCTGAGGACTTTTTTCGATTTCTGCAAGCCGCGCGCGACGCTCTGCGGAGATTCGCGTGGTCGAGGTTGAAAAACTGAGGACTTTTCACGATTTTTAACATGCGCGCTCGACCCTCTGCGGAGATTCGCGTGGTCGAGGTTCAAAAAACTGAGGGCTTTTTACGATTTTTAACATGCGCGACCCTCTGCGGAGATTCGCGTGGTCGAGGTTCAAAAACTGAGGGCTTTTTACGATTTTTAACATGCGCGACCCTCGGCGGAGATTCGCGTGGTCGAGGTTCAAAAACTGAGGACTTTGCCTGTGTGCTTGCTCCTGCGACTCCGTCAGTGCCAAGCTAGTGGACTTGGAGCCTCATCTGAGGTTCAGTCAACATATCCAGCAGTCTTTGGGCAATTTGGGAGGCAGAAAGTCAAGCAAAAGCAAGGCCAAAGCTGAAGAAGAAAAACACACGTGGGGCACAAGGACGTGACCGCCCCTCCGATGGTTAAAACCAGGAAACGGCCCCGAAATGTTCATTCGATCCGAAGCTAAGGCTTGCACCTTCCCAAGCCCTGGCGCAATGACGGCGCAATTCCAATGGTCACCCGTCTGCTTTTGTCTTGCTGGTGCGAGTCGGGAATGAGGGAATGAACCCAGGGCTCCCCTTCAAGGAAACCAGTGGGATGGTGTAAATCGGGGTCAGACTCCAATTCTCCTTCCCTGCATCTCTCGCAGCAAGTTGCTTGATCGGAACTGCCTAGCAAATCACCCTGGTTCACTTCCTGAGGCCCTCCCAGGAACCTTTTCAGAACAGCTTGAGAGGAGCTTCTTTCTTCTCTTTTGGGGGGGGGGGTTGAAGGGAAACCGACTTGAGTATTTTTTTTGGGGGGGGGTTGGTTTACAGGGAAACCAAGATGGGAAACCGAGGCCATTTTTGGGGTTCGACTACTTTACGACACATACCCATATCCGTGTCCAAACAGCAATCCGCTACTACGCCGGGTTGTATGTCAGAAAATACCAACGGAGACACAAAGAATTGGAGCAGAAACAATTGTTGATTTCTCCAGGGCTGACCGACCCTAGGAAGAATGTTCCCGGATTTCATCAACCTGATCAAGGGGTTCTCATAAGCCCGGAATAGAGGAAATCTGAAATGTTAGGCCGGCACCTTGAAGCGGCATAGCACTCCATACGTTCAGCATGCTGTGATGATTGAAATCAACCCAAGCGGAGATAGCGGGATGGCTGCAGTTCAGATAGCTCTTGGTTCCAGCTGGCGACTCTCCCAGTCCGCTTCTGCGAAGGCTTCAGTACGAGGGCAAAGTGCCAATCCATGGCCAGTCAAAACACCCATGAACACGACACCATCTGCCAAGGCTAAAAGTTGGTCGCGGTCCCAAGTCCTTCCTCTCATTAGCACCTCCCCATGTCCCGCTCACGCTCGCCACGCCTGGGCTTTCGTGGGCCTGCACGGTGGGCACTGCTGTAGTCGTTGCCTGGTCTACACACTGGACGTGCGAGCGCGCGAGCCATGAATGGCAATCCTACACTCCTTTACATTGGCATGATTTCCAACCAACAAGCAGCTGACCTACATGGGTAAGGCACTGCTCTTTCTGCAGTGCAGCCTATGCCCGGGAAGCTTGGCTCGACTCCTCTGCATCGATTTGATTCTTCAGGCTCGCCTACAATCAGAGAGCTGACCAAACCCACTTCTACTGGGAAACACAAGTTCCTGGCAAATAAGTAAAACTGCTGGCCTCCAAAAAACAACATGGTGATTGTTTGAAAAGTCTTCGAGTCATGGCAGGCAAATGGTGTCTAAACCTGGCAAAACATCTTCAAAGATTCTTAGAATGATAAAGCCCTGTTCGCAGCCCCACACTGCCGGCTTCCCGGAAAGGGGGCACTCCCAAAAACAAAAAACAAGGAGCCAGGAGGCAAAAATAGGTCCAACCCGAACCTGGAAACAAAAGGCCAAACTTTGTAACTGCAGGCCCATCTGTTTTTGAGAAGTGGCAAGCCATAGCCCACAAGAAGGCCATGGCCTCGTCCAATCGTCAACGACCTGGGGGCCAGAAAATGTTGCGAAGCCAATCTCCCGCCCGGCATGTCCAAAAAAGGCAGGCCTTGGTCAAAAGACCCCCGCTCGCCGAAGGACTGCTGCTCGCCGAAGGACTGCTGCTCGCCGAAGGACTGCTGCTCGCCGAAGGACTGCTGCTCGCCGAAGGACTGCTGCTGCCGCTCGCCGAAGGACTGCCGCTCGCCGAAGGACTGCCGCTCGCCGAAGGACTGCCGCTCGACGAAGGACTGCTGCTGCCGCTCGCCGAAGGACTGCCGCTCGACGAAGGACTGCTGCTGCCGCTCGCCGAAGGACTGCCGCTCGACGAAGGACTGCCGCTCGCCGAAGGACTGCCGCTCGCTGAACGACTGCCGCTCGCCGAAGGACTGCTTCTCCCTGGCACGTTCACGAATGCCTATGATTGGTACCAATGCCCAGCAAATTGATGTGCCTTTGTGGTGGGATTGGAATCTTGTCGAGGACGGAAACCCGGTTCCCAATCGAAACTGTTTCCCCCATCCAAACCAATCCAAAGCACGAACTTTTGTGTGACCAAACCCCTTAGGAGTTTTGTGCAGGCCCTGCTAGGCCTGAAACATCTCATCAGACTTCCTTTGACACGTGGATCCATGAAGCCTCGGGCCTTGTAAGCGATTGAAGGCTGGATTGAGGCTGCGCGTTCGAAGAGTTTGTGAGTTTGGAGTACTTGAAGGCATTTGTGAGTGATCTGAAGGTCGGGCGAAGACTCATTAAAAGACGGCCTGAGCAACGAATTACAAATGGTTGTTTTTAGACAACATTACCATCAAGCAGGGATCATAGGACATGGATTGGAAAGTTACCGTCGTAAGCTCAAAGATTGCCTGCGGCGCCTATGGTGGGTTCGAGGGCAAGTTTCTCCAGATACTCTAAGTTGTGAAGTCAAAGCCTACATTCGTCCAAAAGAAACTTAGTCTCCCAAGGCGCGGAGGTAGTACGAATCGGACCTTGCGTCTGGAGCTGCTGTCCCCGGGTGAATGAACCGGCCGAAACAAAACGGGGGGTGTTCCCCCTTATCAGATCCGACATGTCCTTTTAAAGGGGACGCGCCGTTTCAGTTGAGCAATCAAGGCTCTGTTCCGTCGATGATTCTCAAATGCCTCATTTGGAATGCGCCGGTTTCGTCAATTCCACACACCTCCAGTGCCAAAAAAAAAACAAGGGCACCCTGTTTGGGTACCTGATCTTAAAGGGACAACTACTGAGCAAAAAGGACGGCAATCTGCTCGCGAAGAGACACAAGTGTTTGGTGACGCTTAAAACTCACTTATGCAATGCAAGCCGACTAAAGGGGTAGACAAACTTACCACATGCCAAGTACCCCGCAAGTCGCAGTCTCCCAATCTCCCACTGCGCCTAGGCTTCCAGCTCTGCAGCCTGGTTACCCCAAGTTGGTCCCTTTCCAGGTCCATTTGGTGTCCCCTCTGAAACCGAAGTCTCAAGAATGGGGACCTGGTGGCCACTCCTCTTCCTCCAAAAAAGTCAAACTGATTTGAGTTGCACGTCCCGAGCATGGTCCCAGCTCGGTTAAAAAAGTGACTAGGCTCAGTGGTTTTGGTTTTCCAAGGGCCTCCCTGCCAAACTGGCGAAACAAGAATCTGAGTGCCCAGTCAAGGGAGTTGCAAACAAAAATGGCGATGCAGCAGTGCAAGCAGCTGCATGATACACGTATTGAATGGTCGCGTTCGCAACTCCCAGACAACAAGCGCAACAAGCCGCAGCATGACCCTGGTTGGAAGACCACCCTTAGGGTCAAATTGCGAAGCAACTGAAAGCGCTTTCCTCATGGCAACCAACCCGCATCTGTGTATTGGTCGCTGGTCTGGAGTCTGTACTCGGGTCTCAAAACACCTGCCTTCTCAACTGGGTGGGACAGCCCTGAGACTTGGGTCCGAAGGCCAAAACATAAAGTTCCGAAAACTACCTCCTGATCGTCTACTCCAAGTACCCGCTTTCTTTACAGGTATACCTTGCAAAGCCTAGTTTTCCCATGGAACATACGTCCTGTTTTAGTCAGAGGTTGACATCATACCTTGAACAAAGTGAGTATTTGGAGTGGGGCCGATGTTGACTTACGGGGTCATAATTTTCAACGCTTGCGGAACGACTTGGAAACCAACATGTGGCAAGCTGTGGACTACGCTCTAGTTTGAGAGATGCGAAGCAATACTTGGGTGTCGCATTTTCCAGACACCACATCAGAGCTTCAACCTTTCCGTTTCTGCTGACAGGGCGCAATGTGCGATGAAATGTATTCGAAACTCTGCGGATGTCAGAAAACAAGTCCTCCGAGTACCATCTCAGAATTTCGGAAGCTCTCATTCGAGACCATCGTTTGTCAAATCGCTGATAGAAATCCAACGCGACTTGACCGCACGACGGCCCCAAATGCTAATAGAATTCGGATCGTGCGAAGAGATTGCAGAAAGGTTTTATGCTTTTGTGAGCGCATTGCTTCAAATATCGCTTACAAGGCTGTGCAACATTCTGTCCTATCGAGAACAGTCTCAAAGCCAAACACACTCTCACACTCACACAAACAAACACACACTCGCATGAGTCCATGAGTCACACACACACAGAAACACACACAGAAACACACACAGAAACACACACAGAAACACACACAGAAACACACACAGAAGCACACACAGAAACACACACAGAAACACACACAGAAGAACACACAGAAACACACACAGAAACACGAACAGAAACACACACAGAAACACACACAGAAACACACACAGAAACACACACAGAACACACACACACACAGAAACACACACAGAAACACACACAGAAACACACACAGAAACACACACACACACACACAGGTAGCCCTCTCATTTTGGTCGCAGCTGAGTCATTTTGGTGATAGTCAGTTTTGGGGCCATTTTTGAAGCTTTCAGCCCGCCCCCACTCATGTGGGTCGTAGTTGCTGGATCATTTTGGCCGTAGTTTTCGCTTAATTATTTTGGGCATAGATACAAACACTGGGTGAATTATTTTCACTCAAATCAACTCAACTTGACTCGACTCAACTCAAACTCAACTTCATGAGCCAGCGGCTGCGTCTGAAAATCATACATGTTTCCGGGACCGGTGTAGACCGACCGAAGAACTAGGACCAAAACGATACCGCGCCCCACACACACACACACACACACACACACACACGCACACGCACACTCACACGCACTTGGAGACACACACACACACCACACATGAGCACATGCATGCCGAATTATCCCACAGAATGCCGAACATCATGCTCCAATCTCTGCTCTGAATGACACGCAAGCCCAAACCCCAGATCTGAGAATCATCGCGCTGAGTCGTTGAGTTGTCCAACTCCAAAGTCACCGAACTCCGGGGGGGGGGGAGGGAATAACCGGAGTTAATAACCGGAGTATGTACAGTCGGCCGACCAGTTGTAACCTAAGAATAGGCCCTTTGGTGCAAAACTTACGTGCAAAATGGCAGAGCGCTTCTTGTAAACCCGAAGTCCGGAAAGGAGGCTAAGACTCTGTGTGCTATCTGCAGAACAAATTGGTACAAAACGGGCCACAGCCCATTATATACTAAAACCCAGAACAGCGAACAGCCGAGCCACCCCCGCCACCCCGTCGTGACACAAGTCTAGCAACTCTAGCAGCAGTTGCGAGTTTGCAACCAGAACTTGGGCGACATGCCTGAAGTCCCGTTTTGAATCGACCCCAATCGCCCCGAGCTGAGGGGTTTCGCCTTGAGGCCAACTCAGCTGACTCTTGGGTGTGTCTTCTTTTAGACTTTGGAACCCCCATGAGTGTTCCTTTACCACCAAAAACGGGGTAACATCCCGGCCTCTCGCGGCTCGGCCGGCCTCGGGCCGAGACTTGTAGCCACTTCAAACAGAAAGCTGTGATGCCCTTGGCATCCAGCGCATGAACACAACCAGCAGACGTGGCGCTGCATCAACTCACCAGCCATGTTGAGCTCTCCATGGTTCGTCCATTCTGCTTGGGCAAGTTGTTTAGACCGTTTGGCGGGCATGATGTACATGTACACTTCTGTCCAACTACTTTCGAGGCGTTCCCCCAGATGCACAGCCAATTCACCGAAAGGAAATTGACCAAGGAACCCTTCGAGTCGAATGTCATGTGGCCAGACAAGGTGTCACCTTGTCTTAAGGGTACCCCGTGTTTGGTGGTTCTAAAGTGATACCAAGAGGAAATCCACCGTTTTGGAGGTCCCCTTAAAAAGAAAAGAAAGAAACATCGTACCCCCAGTGAACATCCCAATCCCCACTAAAATAGGTTCTAAAATGGGTGGTGCACCTACCCCAAAATGGTACCATTGGTGTTCACCCACAGCCATGTGTGTCTCGCGGAAGGACACATGACGGCAAAAGGGACACCAAGCGGCGGTTGGCAAACAAGCCCATCCATTTGGAGCCAAACAAACCAGCAAACGCCATTCTGGGGGATGGCCATGACGCTCTTCAGCTGGAAGAAGCCGCCTACCAACTGGTGCGAAGTGGAGGGCATGGGAAGTCCCGGAAAATCAGAGAATTGGCTCCCTGGTTTCCTTGCAACATTTAGGGCAGCCATCGCAGTCTCACGCACAACTTGGGTGTGAATGCATCTTGGAGGCGGTTGCCGCTCTGAATATTGAAAGCTGAGTGATTGGCAGGGTTGCTAGCCAATCCAAAAAGATGAGATGAAACGTGGCGAGTGCGTCTTCCTTGTTTTTTTCTATGAACCTTCCCTCGGAAGCGAAATGAAACCTCGGTTGCTTTCTGCTCCCCTGCTAAAAGCTTAACTTTTAGTGTTTTGATGCGGAAAACCCCATGAGTTGGCCAGAAGTTGAAGTCCCAACATCCAAGCAGCAAAATGCAGCGAGTCGAAACTTTCGGACGCATGGCGTACCGGGGCCCGCGCCCTCGCTGGGCGCCCTCGGCTCCGGCCTGGCTGAGAGCTCTAAAGCTGAACCTTGCTTACCTCTTCTTCTTAGACCCTCAAACTTCATCTGGGTAAAATTACACAAAGACCCTTAAGTAAAAATCCTACTTACACACTTTAAGACTTAGACCCCTTAATTGATAACCTATATGGCGATGGATTTTACTTGAATACCCTTTCGTGGACATCATTTCGGTGGGGATTCATGTCCAGCAGCCGCTTTTGAGGTGGTTCCCTGGTAAAATGTTCACGTGTTCAGAGGGGTCCACGGATGGGAACTTCCCCAAGGTGATTCCTTGAACCCATGCCTTTCAAGCATTCCTTTCTCAAATAGCCGGGGCCGTTTCCGGCTCGCTCCGGCGTTTTCTGGAAAGGATCCGAAGCCAAAGGACGTTGCAGCTGAAATGGGTCGGGATAATCCCCTGCTTTGTTTAATCTTGCTGGTGCTCAGTAGGGAATGACTCAGGGGTGGAACCGTAAGAAAAAGATGGTTATCGGGGTCATTCCCACATTCCCTGCATCTCTCGCACACCTGCAAGTACTCTCTCAGAGGCACGCCCAAATTTGTCCAAAGAGAGCCAAAAACAGCTTCCCAGCTTTATGTTCTTGCCTTGTTTTGCCTGGCGCACATGTTCTCTCATTCGTGAGAGAATCTGGGGGCGTGTCAAAATATGACCCGAAAGTTGTTCGGAATCTCCCTTCGTCCCCTTAAAAGACTCCCTGCCTGAGACAACCGGACAGTGCTTGGCAGAGTCCCAGTCACACGCACAAAAAAAACGAAGTCCAAAAGAGCATGTTGACTCCAAAAAGGTGAGGAAAAAGGGTCTGTTCCGGCAACGAGCAAGCAGAATGTCCGCCGACCCCTTTCTCCAAAGGGGAGGCGCATGGGAAGGGCTTGTATTCGTCCTTGTCTTCGTGATGTTTATCAGCACCACTGATGTTGGGTGATGGGTTCGCAGCATCCGGGTCATCAGCATTCTACGTTTCAAGCTTGCCGTTCAACCCGGCTTGGAATGCAGTGATGCATTTTAGTCATGATTGTTATGACAGCTGCTGCTCATGCAGGGGATGCATAGTGATGATTGTCATCAGGATATCATCACGGTAACTGCTGGTGATGCTGGAGATGCGTAGTGATAATCATCAGGATCATCATGATCATCATGAGCAATGCTGCATCTGATCATCATCATCACTCTTCTCATCATCATCATGATGGTCATCATCATCTCTTTCTTGTTCTTATATGCATTTCAAAAGTAACGTTAGATGCATTGGCAATGCAGAGGATGCTACGATGATAGTTATCATCACAGTCCTCATCCTTATCATCATTATCATCATGGTCATCATCATCATCTCTTACTAGCCGCAGCATCCGGATCATCAGCATTCTACGTTTCAAGCTTGCCGTTCAACCCGGCTTGGAATGCAGTGATGCATTTTAGTCATGATTGATATGACAGCTGCTGCATGCAGGGGATGCATAGTGATGATTGTCATCAGGATATCATCACGGTAACTGCTGGTGATGCTGGAGATGCGTAGTGATGATCATCAGGATCATCATGATCATCATGAGCGATGCTGCATCTGATCATCATCATCATCACTCTTCATCATGATGGTCATCATCATCTCTTTTTTGTTCTTCTATGCATTTCAAAAGTAAAGATAGCATTGGCAATGCAGAGGATGCTACGATGATAGTTATCATCACAGCCCTCATCCTTATCATCATGGTCATCATCTGGTGATGCCGAGGAAGCTGCAATGATAGTTATCATCACAGTCCTCATCCTTATCATCATTATCATCACGGTCATCATCATCTCTCATTAGCCGGCACTGGTGATGCCGAGGATGCTACGATGATAGTTATCATCACAGTCCTCATCCTTATCATCATCTCTCATTAGGGAGCACTGGTGATGCAAGGGATGCTACGATGATAGTTATCATCACAGGATGAGTGATGATGATGATGACGACCATCATCATGATGATGATGAGGAAGATCCTGATGATGACTGATGGTCGTCATCATCTCTTTCTTGTTCTTATATGCATTTCAAAAGTAACGTTAGACAGCATTGGCAATGCAGAGGATGCCTGAGTGATGATGATGATGATGACGACCATCATCATGATGATGATGAGGAAGATCCTGATGACTGTGATGATAACTATCATCGTAGCATCCTTTGCATCACCAGTGCTGCCTGATAAGAGATGATGATGACCGTGATGACAATGATGATAAGGATGAGGACTGTGATGATAACTATCAGCGTAGCATCCTTTGCATCACCAGTGCTCCCTAATGAGAGATGATGATGACGACCATCATCATGATGATGATGAGGAAGATCCTGATGATGACTGTGATGATAACTATCATCGTAGCATCCCTTGCATCACCAGTGCTCCCTAATGAGAGATGATGATGACCGTGATGACAATGATGATAAGGATGAGGCCTGTGATGAAAACTCCGATCGTAGCATCCTTTGCATTGCCAATGCTGTCTAACGTTACTTTTGAAACGCATATATGAACAAGAAAGAGATGCTTGATGAGAAGAGTGATGATGATGATGACGACCATCATCATGATAGTGTGATGAGGACTGTGATGATAACTATCATCGTAGCATCCAGTGCCGGCTAATAAGAGATGATGATGATAAGGGTGAGGACTGTGATGATAACTATCATCGTAGCATCCTCTGCATTGCCAAGTTACTTTTGAAATGCATATAAGAACAAGAAAGAGATGATGATGACCGTCAGGATGATGATAATTATCATCACAGTCCTCATCCTTATTATCATTATCATCACGGTCATCATCATCATCATCACTCTTCTCACTTATATGCATTTCAAAAGTAACGTTAGACAGCATTGGCAATGTAAAGGATGCTACGATGAGTTTTCATCGCAGGCCTCATCCTTATCATCATTGTCATCACGGTCATCATCATCTCTCATTAGGGAGCACTGGTGATGCAAGGGATGCTACGATGATAGTTATCATCACAGTCCTCACACTCTTCTCATCACCATCCTGATGGCCATCATCATCTCTTTCTTGTTCTTATATGCATTTCAAAAGTAACGTTAGACAGCATTGGCAATGCAAAGGATGCTACGATGAGGGTAGCACTGGTGATGCAAGGGATGCTACGATGATAGTTATCATCACAGTCATCATCAGGATCTTCCTCATCATCATCATGATGATGGTCGTCATCATCATCATCATCATCATCACTCTTCTCATCACCATCCTGATGGTCATCATCATCTCTTTCTTGTTCTTATATGCATTTCAAAAGTAACGTTAGACAGCATTGGCAATGCAGAGGATTCTACGATGATAATTATCATCGACGTCGTCCATCATCATCCAGGGGGTGGGGTCTGATCATGACTCAAGTACGCAGGGTTGAAGTTTACAGTGAAACCAAAAAACAAGACCAAAATTTGACCGGGGCGAAAATTTAACATTTCACCCAAAAGAAACCAAAGAAACCAAAACCAAGGGCACTGTTTTCTTTTGCTCGAAAACCACAACTAAATCCGGGGGTCGGCGGCACTGGGCGGCAGCCCTTAAATCCGGCCACAGGACGTGATCGGGCCGCAGGCCAAAGCCCGGTAGGGCTTACCTTCAGGTATAAGGCCGCGCGCCCCATGCCGCCGACCATGCGCAGAACATGCGCAGAACATGCGCAGAACATGCGCAGAACATGCGCATACGTTTTATGCTGGGCCCTTCCTTATAAGGGGCGAAGGATTTGCGGATTGGTTTAGGCGATTTTCGAGGATTTTTGTAGCATCTCCCCGCAGCGTCCAAAAACGAGTCCAAAAACGAGTATTTTTAGGGGGTGCCTAATACCGGACTACACCCCCAGCATTGCCAGCATCATTCCGGATGATGCGGATGATGCTATGCATGCTGGCGATGCGAAACAAGGGGCGGAAAATTGGAAGCAGGCGTGACTGGAAGTCCACGAAATGGACATCAAAGGAATTGCACGAATTTGAGGGGGGCACTGGAGAGAAGCCAAAATGCAGCCAAATGCAAGGTCAGACGAGGGGAACCGAAGAAGGAAACGAAAACAACTTGTGGAAATTATGGAAAACGAAGAGCAACTGCGAAATGAAGGGATGTGCAGGAAACTGACGTGGAATGGGAGGCGGGCTGAAGTCACGGAAACTGAAAAGAACAGAGGGGAGGACTGCGACTGACACGGCGAAACTGTCGAAGATGCAGGAAACACGCGCAAAGGAAGTGAGGTTCAAATCTCGGGAACTGATCGGAATTAACGGAAAGGGAAGTGACAGAACGGCCAGGTCAAGGTGCCCGGTGGCCGGCTGTGTCGCGTCAGCGTGTAAATAAACGAGACAAAGTGGCTGCACCGGCACGCAACGACGCAACGCCACCAAGTAACTCTTTCCCCTGAGAGCCGGGCACGGCGGCCGTCCCTGGGCGGCAAAAACTATCGGGCGTATCCGGTGACCGCGAAAAGGCCTCCAGTTGGTTCATGTATGTGTTTTTTTTTGTTGTTTCAAGCTTGGACCCCTGCCCGCCCCAAAAAAATGAGGTTGTCCTTTGGGTGTCCCTTTAAAGCCCCTCCCTTTTAACGGACAACTCCGAAAGAGGACGAGCCGTGCAGAGAGCAATGGAGAAAGCCATGCTCATAGCGAGCAGTTTCCGGAGTTCACAAGTGAGGTCTCCATGAACCAGTCAAACACATCCCAGAGAGTTTAGCTTTATCCCGTTTGTTCCCTGCAAGTAAAACTCATCAAAACACGTCTGGTAGAATGGAAAATGCGTCGTGGAGTGCTCCCGAATGTTTAGACAAAAATGTCGCTGGGACTTTGACTTGGTGTCGTGTTCCAGATGTCCTCTAGCATGATGGGCCGCAAAGCAGGAGCAACACAATCTGCGCATTCCTGTCCTGATCAAAATGAGGTCAACCAAAACCCATTGGGTCCAATGCGAAACTGCACTTCACCGGAAAACTGCAAAGGGTATGTGTCAAAATGGATGGAGCCCAAAACATGTGTTGCTTCCTTTTGGCTCTCTTGAAACCAACTCAGAACAGGGTTCCCCCCGCCCAAAAAAAAAACATGCACATATGGGTCCGACGGTCCATGTCCGGCCCATGCGGCCTCCTTCAGTGATGGTTGCGGAAGAGGCTTCGCCTCGAGTCAGGCAGGTGGGAAAATTGGGTTTTAACCGCTTTTGGTTTGCAAGGAATTTGGGTGGCCCCATGCCTAAACTAGCAATAGACCAACAATGACGTGTTCAGTTTCTCATCAACTCCCGTGGCGGACGTCCAAAACGTGCGGAAGATTAGGGGTCGTCCCCGTTTTGATGAAAGGAAAAAGTGAGTCTACACCTCTCCTTCTCAAATGGGCTATAGACTACTGCATGGTCAGAAACTTCCAACCCAGAAGCGAAACCTCCTTTGGAGACGAGTGGACTTCACGAGCTTCACTTCGAGAAGTGCTCACGAATGTTGTAAACTGCACTGAGCTCCCCGGAAAAGGTCCATCGACAAAAGTCGACGGCTGAGGAATCGACCTGATGAATAGGGGTGTTCTCCAAAAATAATGAAGGACTATCTTTTTCTCTCTCTCTCTCTCTATCTCTCTCTGGGACACCTTTTGTCGACCAGAGGTGAAAATCATCGTGGGACTTTTGCATGCATGTCCTCTTGAAGCATTGTGCAGCCTTCTCATTGGCAAAGAGAACCAGTTGGCAAATGACCCCGCTTCAAACACATGGCTCCATAGGGGCAATGACAAGCCTGTCAATGGGATTTACGATTTCCTCCTGAACCACCAAACCACCAATTGGAAGGAAGTTGATGCAATCGACGGATTGATCCAACACCTTTGGTGACCGTGCGAGAAGAATTGAAACTGTACTTCATACTTCATAGGTGGCTTCTCTAGGAGGGCAGCTCTTGCAGTGGAGGCCAAGCTTCTTGCTTTCCCAACGGAACACGCCATGAAAGCTGGAAGGCTTCCCATTTACCGTCTACAGGACCAGGGGTTCAAATCCCGGACCACCAATCCAAACCGCCAAGTAGAGGCAGGCTGAATTGCCGGGGCTGAGTCCAAGGGTGCCAATAACAGATCGGCTCGGTCTACGGTCAAAGAAACTCCGATGACGTGCCCTCGGAACTTCGTACTTTCTACAGCCAACCAACCCAATCCAAGCCAAGATTTGGCCAGGCAAACCAGCAACCAAGCCAACCCAACAAACCCAAGCAATTCCAACAAAAACACTGTTCAAGCCAATTCCAACAAACCACCAACAAACCGATCCGAACATAAATAAGACCCGCCACCAGGCCAATCCAAAACAAACTAAAAACTGCCAAACCAACGACACCAAGCCAGTCAGCCAGCCGGCCAGCCAACCAACGAAACGGCCCGCCCCCGCAAGACCGACAGACACAGGCAGCCAGGGCACTCCGGTCTTCCAGTTCTGTGCTGGCATCTGATTTGGCCTGGCATTGCAGCAATGTCGACAATTACCGTGGGGCTCCCCAAAAAAGTGAAGGAGCCCCCCGCCTTTCCTCTCTAAAGTACAAACCAAATTTTATGATCGCGCAGAATCTGCAGCTTGCCTGAAGCCCTGACGAGGGCGTATCCAAAATGCGGGCTCATCGCGGGCACGTCTTTCCAGATGACCCCCTGGAAACAAGAAAGTAGCCGGGTATTATCCCCAACAGCCCCCGAACTCTTGAAAGCTGCCCCAAACCACCCCAAAGTTTATCTGGGCAGAGACTGGGGACGAAGTGTGCCTTTCGTCGATGTTGGGAAAACGCAAAGCCGAAAAGGCGAAACACCAACCTTAGGCTTCCGCGATGTCTGGTCGAAATCAGCTCTGGTGATATCCCCAGCAACCCCCTTGGCACCTTCCGCCGGGAGCCGAAATCTTGGCGACCACGATTCCAGGGGTCGCCAACCACCCCACGGGTTCGGGGGTACAAAAGTGGTTGGTGGACATCCCCAGCAAAATGATGTACATGAAAGGGTCCCAAAATAACAATTCACAGTCAAATAAGGTCAAATGGGTGTCCTTGCTTGAGTTGCTACCTGGTAATAAGACAGTCTACCCGGAACCAGAATTCAAAAGGCGACACCCCATTCGTGGTTGGGACTATCCCTTACCCTTCGTCAACCCGAATCGGGTTTGAGGACGCGCAAAAATGGCTTGTCCAGGTCCGTTTTTCGACGTGCCACCCAAATGGGGGTTGATCAAAACTCTGCCCCCAAATGAGGATGGTTAACTTCTACCAGGTGAACATCAAATCCTTTTTGGTGGTTCCCGTAACGGACCGCAGGTTTTGTCCTTATTGCCCATCTACCAGGGCGGCAACCCATTTGGGGGGTACCGCAAATTCCTTATTGGAAACCCAGGGAACCGTTTTCTGGGGATTTGTTTGTAAAGGAAACCCATAGGAACCGCATGGTTTTTCCAGGGGGGTCATGCCATTTGGCTGTGGGTCAAAAATGTGTGCCCCAAATGGCCTTGGTAAATCGAAAGGACTAAACCAGCGGTGCATATGGTGGTTGAATTTTGACCCATGCCCGAAAGCCGAAAGCAAACCTTAAAGGAAACCCATAGGAATTCCCGATACAAAGGTTCCAAACCCATAGGGAACCCGCCTGGCTTTTCTTCTCTTCCGGACGCTCCGGACGCTCCGCGCCTCCTTCGTGGCCTTCTCCGGTTTCTGAAGCGGCGCCGGCTCCGGGGCCTGCGCCGGATTTCTTTTTGCGAAGGGGGGGGAAGGGGGGGGAAGGGGGGAAGGGGGAGGGGAGGGGGGGTAAGGGGGAGGGGTGGGGGGGAGAGGGAGGGGGGGAGAGGGGGAGGGGTGGGGGGGAGAGGGAGGGGGGGAGGGGGGGAGGGGTGGGGGGGAGAGGGAGGGGGGGAGAGGGGTAGGGGGGAGAGGGAGGGGGAAGACCGCTCTTGGTAATTACCCACAGGAAAGGGCCCCAGAAAACCCCGCCTTCCGGGTAGAATGGGAGGAAACTGTTGCAAAGCATCCTACCTGACCTGGAGCCATCCCAACGCCCAAACTCCCACTCCTAAAGTATCTGGTGGCGCGTGTGACAGCCCCCAAACCGATAGATCTAGGTCCACCCCTGACAAGAGGAAGATCACACTTTGCAAGCTCTGCTTGGTGCTACAGCAGCGATTGGCAACGAGTTCTTGAACTTAGCTGCGATGAAAACATGATAAACAACATGACCCCCCACATGTGCAAAAAAGAATGGTTTCACTAAGGTCAGTCCATGGCTGTCAAGTTCTCATAAACTTAGCAACAAACAAATCATCAAACAGCGTCTAGCGGGGGTGTGGCGCCCTTTCGGCCCATTCCCGTCCCTTTCGCCTTCACCTCTTTTGGCCCGTTGGCCATGTCTGGCACAGGTTCTCCATCCCTGGGAGCGCACATCGCATTTCCGGCTGAAGCAACCACGCGCGAAAGGCGGCATGCTCAGAGACTCGGAACCGTCAAAGGCAAAGTCTTCGCACGCACGCGCACACACACACGCACCCACACACACAAACACACACACACACACACACACACACACACACACACACACACACACACACACACACACACACACACACACACACACACACACACACACACACTTCAACTCCCAAGGGAGGGTGCTAATCATTCGAGTACAACTGATGAGTCTCGAGTACAACTGATGAGTCTCGAGTACAACTGATAAGTCTCGAGTACGATGAGTTTCGGCTCGCAATGCACTTGGCTTCCCTGTACCTACTTTAACAGGGACACACAGAAGCAACGGCGGTTCAGGGAGGGGACCAAAAGGACATTCACAAACATCACAATTGCAGGTACGTCCAGCTGATCAGGCTGGATATCACGAGTTAACAGCGAGCGTCTTCGTTGGCGCAGGACTCGCTGAAACTCCCTGCGCCCCCTGCTGAAGAAAAAGTGTTGGTGGCAGGGTTTCTGCCACTCCGCACACACACACACACGCACGCACGCACGCACGCACGCACACACGCACAAACACACACACACACACACACACACACACACACACACACACACACACACACACACACACACACACACACACACACACACACACACACACACACACACACACGCACACACACCCGCTCCCGCCCGCCCGCCCGCCCACCCACCCGCGCACCCACGCACCCACGCACCCACGCACCTACGCACGCACCCACGCACCTACGCACGCACGCACGCACGCACCCACGCACGCGCGCGTGCGCGCGCGCGTGCACGCGCACCCACCCACCACCCACCCACCGAGCCGCCCGCCCAGGCACCCACTCACCCACCCACCTACCCATGCACCCCGGCACGCCCTCACACACACAGACACACACACAGACACACACACACGCGCCACGTGGGTGCGTTTCTTTCAGGGCTCCCTCTTGGTTTCGTTTGAGCCTTCGAAAGCCACTTCTTAAGCTCAGTGCGCTCAGGGAGACCTCTGACAGGAATTTCTTGCCCACAACCGCTAGGGGACCAGGGGACAAGAAAAATACCAAAACCGTTGCCCCGAAACGGCCCAAAATCGACAAACCGTGGCAAAATTGTGTCGCAATTGGGTGGTTTGTGTTTTGGTGCCCATTTGTTCTTCTGCAGGAAACCATCGGGATGCCACCACCATTTCGGGCTCCCCCCACCCTCTTGATGCGGCTCGGCTGGGCCACCACACTTCCAGAAGGCCTTGGGGTTCGTCACCTGCGCTGAGAACTTCCCTGATCCTTGGAAAATGAGCGTGTGATGCTAAGCCTCGGATGAAAAAGCGGAGGACCCTACTGATGTTCGGTGGTTCCCCACCAAGGAAACTGCAACCAGCTACTTTTAAGAGCTCTGACTGATAGCGTCCTCCGGATCAATCCGAAGCTAGCATTCTCGTCGACCCAAATGAATCAACTTGAATGCGAAGATGAAATCTTCCAAGAGGTTTTCCAGCGTTGATGAAATCGGTCAAGCCAAAGCGCTGGCTGGTTTCTTGCCAAGCGCTGAATGTTCCTAAATCCAACCCTAGAGGCGAGCGTTTGAGGAGGGAGTACTGCCATCTTCTTTATCACTCTTCAAGCGAACAACGGAAAAAGGGAGACTGCTTTGCTATGCAAAAGAAGGGCTTGTGCTAGAGGGTGCGTCTGTTTTTAGGGGACCTCTCAAAATGGTTGTTTTCCTTTTGTTTCCTTCACAACCACCGAACAAGAAAAACCCTCAAAACATTTCACACCCAGAAGACTCTCTATTTGAGTCATGACAGCTACACTTGCCAAGGCTTCAAGCCCCCGCCTTTCGGCTTTGGATGCCGATGGCGCGCATGCGGCCCACATAGTCCAGGAGCCCGTCAATCTCCGCCTGAATCAGAAAAGACAAAAGCAACCCGAGAAGGACACCCATAGATATGTAGCTTGCCTTGTCGCTTCTGAAAACCCTAACGACAGCACAAGCCAAAAACCCAGGCAACCACGACAGCACCTTGAAGGCAAAGGCTAAGAGAAGGCATTCGACTGTTGGCATTAGACCTCCAGCGGCCATACGGGGAAAAAAGAACACCTTTTGATAGCTGATGTCAAAGGGAAATCTGGGTGTGGGTCAAAAATAGGTACACAAAATGGGAAGGGCAAAGACCTGTGGGCAAAAACCTGTGGTCCATATCCTGGTGGCTAAAATTTACCCACCCCCATCTCTAAGTAAATGGCAAGGAAACGCCCTCGCCGAATTCGTCAAGCAAAGCGATCACAATGATCATGAGTGAGGTGTGGCTTCGTTTTCAGTAACGGGGTGATTTTCCTTCAGTAACCCAACCAGATTATGCTTAGCACATGAATCAGGACAAGATTTGTACCAACGCGCAAATCACGCTCTTGTTCCTAATACCTCCACCCCATCAACCCCACAACCACACACATCCACCCCCCAAAAAAAAAAATCGCCCCTCCCCCCCTCCAAAGACTCACCCCCCCCCTTTCATCGGGCGAAGATGTTTGGATGTCCACAACTCGCGGCATTTCGTGCGGACGCCGCGTTTCCCGCTCCCCGCGCACTCCTTGGTGCCCTGGTCGATGGAGTCCTTCAAGCCGGCCACCAGCCTGGCCTCATCCTGGCGCGGCGAAATTCGAAGTCGGGCTAAGCGCCTGCCTAAGGCATTGTTTGAAACAAAAAGTGGTGGTTTTTTTTCTTATTTGACTAAATGAAATAGATAAACAAAAAGACATTGGGTGAAGCAGTCTGTAGACAGAGTGTCCTTCACTGGTGATGATTTCCTGCGTGCACAACGCAGCCAACAAGGCAGGTCCAGACAAGGTCTAATGGGCTGATGTGTTGTTCTGACAGAAGTGAAATGAAGACGGGAAAGTCCGCTTGCAATGCATTCACTGCCTCCAGGTATCTAGTGAAATTGTCTTTCAGGCTCTTCATAGGACACTGGCTAGGATGTGAATGGAAGACGGCAACCTGAGAAACCACTTCGCAGGTCATGTCGCCTGGGACAAAAGCAAGGTGCAATCGTCTCGGTCACATCCATTGATTTCGCTAAGAGCTTCAAACATGTTCTAATCTACCAGTCTACCTTGCACGGGGGGATTCCTTGGAACTTCATAAACGACAAAATACCTTCTGCTAGAAACAAAGTAGACCGGCATCGGAAGCTGTTCAGTCAGTTGTGGCAATCATATTAGTCGTTTCTTGATGTCTCCACATGCCTCAATCCACACCTTGCCACAAAGTGGCCGAAGGGCTGCAAATATGGGAAGCTTCCCAAGGTCAGGTGCCAACTTTGACGGGTGCGCTGCGGGATTGCCAACCTTGATGGTATACCGTTGAAAAAGCGCGGGCTGTTCTCCACAGCTGCGCAATGCCTTGCTTGCGCGAAAAAGAAGCGAATCAGGCGAAGGTGTCGGAGAGAGACACCCTGACACGACAGTCTTGAACGAGGAACGCTCTTGCAAGGCAGATTCTTGCACACATTGCCGCGCATATGTATATATATATATATAGATATATACATATGTGTGTATGTAAAAATGTAGATTTGTATAGATGTATATACGTATACATGCAGATATGTATAAATGTATACATGTATATATGTATACGTACATTCAGGCTACTGGCCCTTGTATGGACCTGGGTGTTGGTGCCTTTGTGTGATGACGGGCTTTCCAGACAAAGGATTTAAACAGGCTCTGAGATTAAAATTCCAGCTCAGCTAAAAGAACTTACGTCCTTTGTCAACTCCATGCAAATTCTAATCGAACAACATGTCGCCTCAATTGTGAGAAGGAGCTCGTATTTAAACAGCTCAAAAGTCACATGGTTCACAGACACCTTGGCAGCTCCAGCTCAAAAGTGACACTTCTCAGAACAAGAGTAGTACCCGAAGTACGCTTTGCCAGCTTCAAAGTGATTGCAGCAGCTCTGCTAGTTGTCTTTGTTTGCTTTTGTTTTGCATGAAAACTCGGCAAACCATCGATTTGGGGGAAGGAGTCCCTTTCCCATTAAAACATTGCTATGTGCAAAGCAATTCCTATATATTCCTATCAACATTGTGTAGTGCTTAGCTGACTTGATTTCATCCTTGTCAAATGTCCGATTCTCAAATGCTGTTTCGAGCTCAAACTGAGCTGGTGCAGTTCCTTGTGCATTTTGAAAACTAACAATTGGAGACAAAAGACTATTGGCATTGCCAGTTGAGACTGGATCCATTTCAAGTTCAATAGGTTATGTTCCTTATCCAATCCCATGTGAATTTACCCAAGCAAGAACTGAGCCAAGCCAAAAGCCGTAAAGTGTCTATAATCATTGCTTATTGGCAACAAATGCTGCAAAACGCGGTGTGTTTAAGCATGTACGCAGACCCTGTTCCCCCGGATCGAAGATTGAATATTCCAAACAAGAAGGCTTGAGTTTGTCGACCGTTTGTTCACAAATCACCATAGTAGAGGACTCCAAAACAGCCAGAGGATCCTGAATTCGGAAAATACTGTCCAACAAAAGAGGCCCCAATTATTCAAACGGGGTCCAACATTAGTCCCTGAGTTCTATGAGCCCCTGAATACGTAACACTCAGGCCGTTTATCATAAAACTACATTTATACTCGAATCCTCAATTTGATGCTTGGAAAATGCACTCTTTGTCTGCCTTTGGATTCTTCAAATCCATACTTTTAAACCTGGAGTATTGGGGCAGCACTGGAAATTGAATTATACATCTATGTGTATGTGTGCGTATACATATATATATATATGTATACGTAGTTCTATGTGTACAGAGTTCTAAAACAATATGGAATTCAAGATTCCCAAACAGACTTTTCTCAGATGCTTGAATCTTGAACCCAAAGAAGACACAAGTGTCTAGCAATATTCCAGATGCGTGTAGACACCTGGCAGACGGCAAATGATGGCTTCATTGCTTACATTACAAATATGCTTCTGCATGTGTGTATATATATACGCATATGTATGGCACCCCCAATTCTGCCACCAAAATCAAGAAGGCAACCAACAAAGCACAAAACACTGGACAAACACAGCTAGAAGCCCCAAAACCAGGTCATCTATGTGCAAAAAAAAAGAGCTTAAAGCTGGATGTTGGCGACACTCTTTTCCGAATGGCATTTGGTGCTTGTGCGCCCCTTGTCATGCTCATTTTACTCCCACATGGACAGGCGGATCGCTTGATCTTCCGAAGCCCGTTGCGCCGTGCAGGGCATTTTCAGCGTCTTCGGTCCTCGCAGGTGGTGATCTCATCATAGGCTCGCTGCAGCTTGCCCTGGCGCAAAAAGGAAACCAGACGGAAAAAACCCAAGCATCCGGGGGGGGTGCCCAAACCGAGGCTTTGCGGGAGTTGGGGGTGGCCGATTTTTTTTTGAGACAGGAACTCGTAAAGGTGCATGGTTCGGGGGATTTGGGGGGTGCCCAACTTTTCTTTGGAGACACGCTCAAAAAGGTGCATCTTTCTTGCTGGTGCTGTTTGCAGAGGCATTTAGGAAGAAACCAAAGATGGGAGGTGTCTCCCCTGAGCTTGAGGACCCATATGAGTGCCAGACAAAACTACTTGCTTCCCCAACAGGACATGGACAACTTGTGGCCCGGTCCGAACCGGGGATTTTGGGACATGTCCGCGCCGTACAATAGACTTCAAATTTTGGTCGGTTGCTCACATAGATCCCGACCCTTGATGGGCCAAGCACAAGTTTGTCCAGCGCGCCCACAAAGTCCAGGGACTGTTGCATGTAAGCAAGAGGAGCATCCACTGCATTTGCATTTGGCTTGCAGGCAATTGGCTTGCTGGGCGCTCAATGCTAAGAGCGCAGGCAAAGCATCGATTCCTCATAGCCACTGTCATTATTAACTGTTTCCCCCTTGACAGGGTTGGGTGATTAACTATGCAAAGCGTCCAACGTTTATTTCACTTTTAACCTCAACCGTCCCCCGAACTGCGGTGCCTCCCAGTTGTAGAGCTCAAACTTGTGGCGGTCAAAGTTCCGGCAAACCATGTAGAACGAGACATCCGCCTGAAACGCGGCTTCCCCGCCAGCCGGGTTTGAAGAGCATGTCACCCGGTCGCATCCCTGGAGCGTCATTCGATCACTAGGCTCAAAGGAAGTGTCATCTGCTTCTCTGCTAATTTTGAGGACTGTCGTGTTGCTCGCGTAGATTTGCCATGAGGCAAGTTCCTTTTGTGAAGGTCGCCATGCTCCCCTTTCAAGTGTTGTTCAAACATTGCGACCCCAAAGTCGCCTCTAAACTCTGACCTGGGAATCACCGTTTTGATCATGGCTCGGCTCATGTCGCAACCACCATATTCCTCTGAAACACCCGCGGGTCTGTTTCAAAATGAGGAAGCCTTCTTGGATGACTTCAAAGGAAGAAAGCCAACTACTTATGAGGGTCAAACAAAATAAGGCACCCCCATGTTGCTCGAGTCGGGCGGCCTGGTGGACGTACTCGCCTCGGATTGCAGGTGTCTCCGGTCAAAGTGGTTCATCAAGGGCTGCATTCAGAGGATGCAACTTGCAACAAACCGCGAACTACATTGTGAATCAACTCAGAGTTAATCAACTTGATCAATACAAAACGCAAAATACGTTGGAGGAGTTGATCAAAAGCATTCAGAGTTCATCAACTCTAAACCACTCCTCCATTGATCAACTCTCAACACTGGGTTTGAATAAGCTCTACCGTCACATTCCACCTTTCCAAGGCACATGACTGGTCCCTAACTGGCAACCAGGGGCCTTCAGGGGTGCCATGATTGGTAGGAGACAATCATTGGTCTTGCAAACTTGGCTTACCTCTTGATCGTCAAGCAAGAGGACAGGAAGCATAGCACAAAATGCTGCGGCATGACAAGCCATGTCGCTTGAAAGCAGGTTTGCAGCAACTGAACACGGCTGGACGCTGAATACTGAAAATGACTGAAGTGTCAACCCTGATGACCCCTGATCCTCCCTCTTTGCCACTCTGTACATCAAGCCGGCCTGGCTACCCGAATCCGCACCAGAGTTTCTTCCAAGCCCATCTCACAGAACCTGTTCAAAGCGGATAGAAAGCCGGGCTATGCGGTGCGACCTACCTTGGTCCTATCCGATGTGGGTGATTAACCATCTATCATGAAGCCCACAAAACATTTACTGTTCCCCAACTGGACATTTCGCCAAAATTGACCGCACCCCTAAGATTTTGTGCGTAACTCAGACTGGATAGGTTGCCCAAGCCTATGTTTTGAGCACCCATTGCACACCACAAAGATCGATGGTGGAAGCCTCAGCTTTGGGAAAAGACAACATACTGGAGAAACCCCAAAGATCAGACGCCAGTGGCTCAAAAGCCAGGCTGAAGCGTGTCTCGTGCTTCACCGAGTGATCGACCCTCGTGACAAGATGCTCACTTTCCAAGATGCTCAAGCAGCCCAGGTTGCTTCTAAAGTCTCCCTGCAATTTAACATGCAAAGTCTGTCCCTGTCAAAAGCGACTTCCCTCCAAAATTGGAGACTGGTTTGGGGGTCCATAGTGTGAATTTTCAGATGTGCATGGTCATGAATCAATTCGGGACCCAAAGTTGACATGATTTAGGAGAAGATTCCTGGCCTTTCCCCACCACTTTTGAGGTGGTTCCTTATTCAATTTCCTAGCCATATGTCCTCCGGTCGCTTTTCCTTTTGCCAGGTGGCTCTTGAAGGGTCGCAAGGTGAGGAAGAGGGACTTCAGCACGCTGAAGAGCCAGTGCCTTCGTCGGCAAAGGCGGAGCGGACCATGCGCAGCACGGTGGGTGCGGGGGGACCCAAGGGACAACCACCAGTTTTTGTTGGGGGAGTTGTCCGAATTGCGAGGCACCCTATGAGAGCCCTAGACAAAAATTGCAGAAAGGGCATGCGAAAATAGGCTGGTACAGTGGAAGGCCTAAATGTTGCAAGCGCCACCAATGCAGATGTTGACACCATTTCTGTGGCATCGCCCGCTGCGTTCGGACCTCTCTCCCCCAGTTACAATGTTGAAGCCAAGCCCGTAACCCGTCTTCCGAGGCCCAATAAATTGCAAGTTCAACATTGTATCAGGGGAAGGGGGGCCACAGATATCATGTCACAGTGCTTCCCTTAGTGGACTGTGCCCTTTGTTTTTCTGCTCCGCACTTGCAATATTTAGGGCTTCAACCGTATGGGGGGTGGGGCCCCCCATTCCCATCCCCTCCCTCCCCCTCCCCGAAATTAAAAAAAAAAAAAAAAAAAAAAAAAAAAACTGACAGTAGACTGCCAGCATTTCCCCAGTTTTGGACTTGTGGGACCAGGGTCCCAGCTGAAGTCTTTGAGTCTTGGGCGAGCTTTGCACTTTTGGTCTCCAAAACACTCGGCACCAATCCAACCCCAAGCCCGCCCTCGAAGCCGGCCCAAAACCCACCACAAAAGAACTGCCGCCGCCAAATCGGCAGCCCTAGGTCCCAGTCAGGCCAGCGATGCTGGGGATGCGGCCAACCAAAAAAACAGCCAGACCTAGTTCCTAGGTGGTTTTGCTTGCTTAAGAAAAAACGAGGCAAAACAACCTCTGGATGCCGCCCCTCCCTTTAACCCCACCGCCACCAAAACAAGGAGAGCCCCTCGACATGTTGGGTGGCAATGCACATAGGGCAGCTGCAACGACAGAAAACCTGTGCTCAGGGATGTCGACCAAAAGCTGACGAGGCTGCACCACACTTGCGCCAAGAAATCTCTGGAGTCTGAGGTTCAAGGGACTTTCCAGGGATGTTGGAGGTACGGAGGTTATATACCTCATACCCTCCCACCAATTGACAGGTCCTGGAAGACCATTTTCCTTTAGGCTCCACGTGCATTGGTGGGAGGCTTATATTGGTGTACAAAAAACATCCAAAGCTCCGAAAACCCTAGCGCAAACGGCCTCAAGGCTCATATCGTCGGAGCCAACTGAGACCATTGAGCCCCGGGCGTAAGCGCGGTGTACCATTCCTCCTCCTGTCCATGGCGAACAAGGCCCCAATCAGTGAGGTATCTTTGAAACAGCTCTTCATAGCTGCTAGATGTTGAACCCTACCTCTGCAGTACGTCTCACGACCTGCGCCTGTAAGACCCACAAACAAAGCGGCTGTCCAATTCCTGCCCGAGCGCCAAAGACCGACATCTCAAACCCTGACCGCAAACCCGAATCGACATCAGCCCAACCAGAACCCGAGCAGCGCGCTAAATCTAGACCGTAAAAGAAGCAACCCTCCACACCCCCACACCCCCCCACACCCCCACACACACCCAGCACACAGCTCCCACCCCCTCCACACCCCCAGCACACAGCTCCCACCCCCCCCACCCCCCCCCCACCCCACCCCCACACCCCACACCCCCAAGTTGAGCAATGCACAAAACTCCCAAGGCTCGGCTTGCGTCTCTCTAAGTCTCGGCTCTCCTGCAAGTATTTCGCCAGCAAGCTGGGATGCACCTCGGGCTGCCCATCAAAACCGCGGTAGATGACCATGTTCCAGGGGGTGTTCTAGGGGTAGCTTCCATTTCCATTCTTTCCAGGGATCCTCTTTTTTTTGCATATTAAGTGACTAGTGAGTTTATGTGAATGCGAATATGACACTAGTCTTTAACCTGATTTGTTTTTTCCTTCCTTCTAGAAAACCACCAAAAACCCTGGGGAGATGGCCGGTTTTTGAAAAGAACGATGGGTGAAAAGAATGGGGAATTAACCCCTAGAGTGTTACGTAGCCCTGCGGGGTCAGTTTGGAGAACCACATCCCTGCTGAAAGGCTCAATGTCTCACAAGGAAAGACTCCAACTGATCTCCTCACCAGGATCCAAACCCGCAAAAGCCCCTGCAGCGGCCCCAATTAAGGCATGTTTCTATTCGCGATTTCTCTAACAACCCACGCTGTCCCATCCTTGGTGTACCGCAATGCCAAAACAAAGGGGTTGCTCTATCAATCAACACGGGTTGGTGACCGTTCCAAAAGGGAAGTGGCCAGGCACACTTCCATTGGTAAAAGGCAAGCGGGCCAAACAACCTCCTTTTCTTTTCCCTTCAGGAAACAAGGGGGGGACTCTCGAAATCAGGGGCAGTTGGGGCTGTTGGTTTCCTCTCCAAACCATCCAAAGAGGGGACCCCTTTGAGAAACACCCAGGTTGCTCAAACAGACTTCGACCTGGTGCGATGTTAACCCCATATTCATCAACCCCAGTTTATTCCTCGGGTGCTTCTCCCTGAATAAACATGTGGTTGGAATCAGACCACTTCTGGAGGGGCCAAAAACCATGACCGCAGCCCCCTATGAATAGACCGGTTGGTGGACGAAAATCTGGGGTCAGCATCAGACCCCCAAAAAAAGCCGCTTTCCACACCCTGAGCTTGGCCTCCTGCTGCCTCCCCGCTGGGGTGCACATCCTCGGCGTGAAACGCCCGCAGACCGCGACAGAGAGAGGGACCGCGATAGGCCAAGCGGGCCACAGCAGCACACTGACAGTGACTCCCTGCCAATGGATCAATGGATCAGTATGCCTCTTTGGACCGTAGCAAAAGCCGGACCAAAACCAAATGCAAAGCATCTGCACACATCACTGTGAATAAAGGGATTAGCAACATTCACCCCACTGAGAGTCCAAGATCGTGCAGGTGGGTGTGCCTGGTTTGGGGTACCCTGTTTGGGATGTATCCATTCCACCCACACACACCCCGCCGGTGCAGCTGCTGATGCGGGAATGCGGGGGATGCGGGGGATGCGGGGGAAGTTGGCAAGGTTGTAGGGGTGCTGGCGGGGATTCGGGCCGCAGCAGTCGGGAGCGATTCGGTAGTCACGGTGGGTTCCAAGGTTGGGCAAAACAGCATCAGCAGCCCGTTGCAAGGCTGGGGATGTCGGGGATGTTTTGGGAGCCCAGATGTCTTGGATGGCCTGCGTCCGGATGATGCAGGGGATGCTGAGGAGGAGCTTATACCCTACGCTCGAAGACACGCAGAGAGATCCAGCTTTGCAGCTCTATTGCTGGTATGAAAACCGAGCTGAGGAATGTTTGGATATTGTTCCTTTTTGCGTTATGTCTTGAAATGTAGCACTTCTAGAGAGGCGTCTACACGAGCCACAGCGTTCTTATGAAGTGGGGCCAAATTGCTTGGTCAGCGCATCTGCTATACCGGGGAGGAACACTCATTAGCATGACCCGCTATAAGGGTCTAAATAATACTAACATGTTGCTCCTATGATCATGGCGCTTTTGAATTTGAAACACCCACAGCTTGGCTGGAGTTTGTCGACTAGCGTCTCAACGGCAAATTCCAGATGGGAGTCATGTCACGAAAGCACACTGGAATTCGGATACGACTCTTTTTCTGCCAGTGCATTTTTACAGTCATCCACAATAGATCATCTGCCAGCTCGCAAAAGAGAAAAACAGATCATCTCAAGTCGGAAAGACGGGGACGCCCCTCCAGTTTCCCTTTGGAACAACCTTGAACAGGGTAGCCTCAAACGGATCTGTTTTTGGAGGGTACCTGTTTCAGGCTGGTTTAAAGGCGGCGACTCGGGCTGCTCTTGGCACCCCTGCTGCGGAGCCTACGCCGCGCCAGCCGAAGCGGAAGACAAAGCTCCCGCCCTGCCTGACTCGTGAACTCGTGTGGAGTCACCCCCTCCCACAAAGGATTTTGGTTCTCCGCGCGTCACGCGTCCCCTTGCAACCACCCCAAACAGGGTAGTGAGTGCAAAGAGAAACCGGGAGTGTCAAGCGCCCTCAAAACAGGGATCCTTACATTGTGCACCTGAACATTGCCTTGTACATGGTGGTTTCCCTTTATTTCGGTGGAAAAAGCAACATGTGTCAAATGGTTGCAAAATGCTGTATTTTTTAAGGAGCCCTGCAAAAGCACCCATGAAGCGCGTCATTTCGGGGACCCCACACCGCCACACTGCAAAGAGCCCCTCCACATGGCCCAGGCAAATCAAAAAGCAAATGGGACCCGCCAGTTTTGTTAGGACCCAAAGGTAAGCCGGAGATGCCAAGCAAACATCACCTTGGGTGGTTTGGTTTGCTCTTGGGATGTTTGGGGGCACCCTTCCATTTAGTTCACAAGGAGCTGGGGTCAAATATTTGCCCCATTTCTCAACAACAAGCCATTTTGCCATGGTTCGCCCCTCAACCTTCTGGGGTACCCAATAAAGGAAAACTACTCTTTCTCCGCCATTTATAGCAAAAAGAAGAGAAAAAAAAAAAAAAAAAAAAAAACTGCACCCCGAGACACGGAGAAGGCCGGAAGAAGAAACAAAAGGAAAAAAGGAGCTGACCGCCGACGGGTCCTGAGCTTTGGAAAGGCCAGCTGGCACTCCCGCACCGTGAGCGCCTCAGCCCGGGCTGAGGGGAGAGATGGGGTGGGAGGGGAGGCGTGGGTCAAAAGCCGGTACCCCCGCAGTGAACGGGACCCAATCCAACCACCAAAAGACGTTCTAAAATGGGTGGTGAACTCACCTAGCCCAAAATGGGATTCCATTGGTTTTGACCCACAGCCGTGTCAGTTTGGCCAAGAAAGGTCTAGCTTTCCTCCCACGTTTTCGGAAGGCAGGAGTGGGAGGGCACCTGGAAGATCAGTTTGCTCTTGGAGGGACCCGGTCTAAACTGTTGGTATACCACCAACATGGTCGTCGCAAAAGTCTCAAGCCTAGCAACTCAGGAAGTCAGCTTTCTAACAACCATGGAAGTGGACAAAGATCCCCACAAGCAACAAGTTGTCTTCCAAATCCCTCATCTTCGTCAGCTTCCAGAATGGGAGGGTCACCAGCGAACTCTGGTTTAAAAGCCTAGGAGAGCCTCCTGAATGGGGTTGAGCTCCAATGGTCTGGTTGCCTCGTAAAGCTCCTAAGCCAACCAGGGGTCAACGGGGGAAGTTCCCCCCAAGGTACGAGGCCAAGGCTTTGGCCAAGTGAAGACCCAGCTGATCAACCCTGGGGGGTCCGGGTTCCCCCCGCGGTCGCAGCTCCCATGGAAGAAGCTCCCTCCGTGGGACACCACTATTGATATTCATCAGCCAAAGGTTTATCTGTCCTGGGCTCCCATCGCACAGCTAGTCCCCCCCTCCCCCATCTGCAAAGCTGATGGGTTTTGCCACGGAAAAAAATAATAGCCACCCCAGTCACATTGTCTGTTGGGCAAGTCCAAGCCGTGCAACTCCGAACGTCTCCATCAACACATGGTCGGCAAACCTTGAACCCTGCAGGCATGTGGCCTCATGACCCCCCTGTGCATTTGGGGTGCCTCTTTTTTTGGGGCCCAGGGCTCGCGATTCTTCTACCGAGTCACAAGCAAACCCCGGTACAACGGCCGACCCAGAATGTGAAGAATTTCAGGCGGAGATCCGCGGCTGCTTACGGCAAGGGGACGGTCCCTTACTCACCTCTCATGGCCCCAACTTCCGGGCCACAAGACCTGCCCTTCCGAGTCGCGACTCGACTCGACTCGACTCGATCCCGACGAGCCCGAGCCCGAGCCGCCGCGCCCAAATGCCCAAGGTGCGGCTCCGGGTCTTCGTGCCGCGGTACTGCGATGAAAGGCGAGCCCGAGCGAGCCAAGGACCAGGGCACCCACTGCGAACATGGAGTGTTGCGCTGAACGAGAATGCGTCCACGCAATCTTTGAAGGCCAATTGTGACTGTAAAAATGTGTTGAAACTTGATCCTATGCTCGCCGCCAGTGAAAGGCTAGCAATGGACGACCCACAACCAAAGCTTCTTGGCAAATGGCGTGCCTTTTGAGCCCCAGTGACATGCTTTCGACACGTGCGCTTTGTGCCTTGCCCGGGCCTTGGCCGTCTGGTGGTGCGGCTTGAACATGTTGGAGAGGTACCTGGACGCGACTCGGGCCGTTTCTGCGATCCGATGGGCCGATCAGCGCTCTTTTTCCAGTGCAAGCATGCAGCAGTCTGTCAAACAGGTTGCTTGTGATGGTCTGTCGCTCATCCTAGTCATCACTGACCACTGGATTCTCGGTTGCTTTCTGCTCCCCTGCTAAAAGTTAACTTTTAGTGGTTTAATGGAAAACCCATTACTTGGCAAAAAGTTAAAGTCCTAACATCCAAGCAAAATGCACCACTGGATTGTCCGCCGCCAATCGCAACGGCCAGAATTCCTCGGGTGCTCTGAACGCTCTGTGCGCGTGCCCGTGTGGCTGCGTGCGAAAAAAGAAAGAAAAAAAAACATAAGCAGGAGAAAAAAAGGAGAAACCAAAAAAAAAACGGGGGCACTGAGCGTCTGCGACACAAATGTCGATGGAGTTGTCCATGCAAAGCTGGGCGTGCGGCGTGGCTGGCTTCCCATGTTGGGTCTACGGACACGTTTGATCTGACGGCACTACTGTGGATGGACGAAATCCGTTCGCACCATGTTGAAACCAAGAGAGTCCACTGTTTGTTGGTATTTACAGGGGAATCGAATCATTCCAGGGTTTCTTAGGTGCAGGGGTTCGTCCATCCACAGTTCGAAGTCCTGAAGTGATGACGCATCACGTCCTTCCACCTTCTACTCCTTCCACCATCGTTCCTCCGCATCTCAGTAGGTACATCCACCCAGTTGCGCTCATCAATCAAAGCCAGGTGTCAACAAAATTAGAAAACTGGCAGGTTGCCCCGGGGAATCGCTGGCTCAATAGCTGGGGCCAAGCACGCTTTGGCCCAAGACATGCAAATGGTTTGGTCCCCAGTTGTTCGCGCTACTAGGTGGCTATGTCTTTGTAGCTGGGAACCACCTCCAAAGCGGTTGGTGGACATGAATCCCCACCTACAACATGCCCACCAAAAGCCCCCCTGTGAGAATTCACCCCCCTGTTAGTCGACGAATCAAGGAATCGATGCAATAAACTACGCTCGCCGCAAAGGCGCCAAGCGCAAAGGCTCTGTTGACATCACTCAAATCATACGAGTCATGGTCAAAATGACTTGTTTACGTGAGTCCCCTGGCTTTTGTGTGGAGTTTCTCGGAGAGTCCCCGGGCTTTTACCTCCTAAATGGACGTATCGTGACTTAGACGACGTGCAGATTTTGACTGAACCTCATGAAATGCGGGGCATGTTGATCCAAAGCATGTCAACTAGCACACAAGTTTCGAGGGATGCCTCAAGACAATGTGAGAGCGAAAACGCAACGCCACTTCGCAGGACGGCTGGGTATGTTTGAACGATGGGTTCAGGCCCAGGCTCACCCCAAGCTTCGGCAAGTGCATTCTGAGAGCTGCTATCTCAGGCTTAGAAAAAATGCGGGCTCTTTCAGTTGAGCTTCCCTTTTCGGTAAGGGAAACCAAAGACGCAGCCCCCCAGGCCCGAGGATTTGCTCCAACGTCCAGCGATTCCGAAGCATCCCCGCCAAGTCGTTGGGCATCACCTGCAGCAGATCTTCGAACCTCGCGGCGCTCGCGGCTCGCGGCTCGCGGACGGCGGGCGGATTTTTGCGGCACGAAAGCGCGCGCGCTTTCGCGGGGGTCGTCTTTCCTCGACCTGGAAAAGGGGGGGCCAAGTTTCAGGGAGCTTCCTCTACAATTGGAGGTTTTGGGGGTTCCACGTCAATTGGATAAGCTTTGGGCCAATCCCAATGAGACCAGGTAGGACCACCCACTACGCTGGCCAATGGGGGTGTGAGGGTGTCACATTCAGTGCAAAAGGAGTCATAACTTGCATGTACGACAAGTCAATGAAATTATATAACCAGAATCTCTTACCACCCGAGTAATATTCTATTTTGATCCTTAACGACCTGCCCACATCAACTTGATCCAAGCGACTCGGGTTTTTGGCCTCTTCCGCCGGAGGTTCCGCTAGTCCCAGTGCTTTGAACCGAAAAGACACATGTTTCACCGAAGCCGGTACCAAAGGATGTTTCGCCTGAGTGTTCCTTCGGTATTTGGGGCTTTGTTTGAATACTAAGGGACACCCCCCCCCCCAAATACCAAAACCCCCCTCCCCAGCATCAGTCCAGGAGTATGTCTACCTGGTCAACCGCCTCGAATTGTCCCAAAGGTCCAAACGGCTGTGGCTTTTTGTTGATGGTACCATTTCGGGTTGGTTTCAAGGAAAACAAAGAGGAAATATCAAATTCCAGTTTTGGGGGTCCAAATGGCCATGGGTCAAAATCCCGTACCCGCAATGAACATCCCAATCCCCACTAAAATAGGTTCTAAAATGGGTGGTGAATTCACCTACCCCAAAATGGTACCATTGGTTTTGACCCACCGCCAAATCCAACAAGAAGACGCACCCAGCAAAAACGCACCATCCCGGGTTTTCTCAAGCTGGGCCCCCCGTCTGCACGCAAAGCCTCGAGCTCTCGATGGCCATCTGGAAGCCCCCGAGCTGTGGGGGCAGCGAGACCTCGGGAAATCCGCTCGAAGGATGGCGCCGAGCAACTCGGCAGATGGTTTGCTCGCTTTGGTGGAGTCGGTACCCCCGCGAAGAAAAAAAAAAAACGCTCAGGTGATATCCCCAACAGCATGCGGTGGAACCCTGGTGGAACCCTCGTGGAACCTTACCTCAGGGCCGCCCCGGACCACCCCACAGCCTATCTGGGCTGCATGCGTTTCTCCCTCGGCCGCGTTCCGAGAGAGATTTCAGAGCCTGTGCTTTCACAAAACAAAAAACAAAAAACGTTTTGAAGACACTGCCAAGTTGGAGGCTGGCCTTGAGGAACTCAAACGGGACTCGGAAGCCAAACCAACTCCACGCTGTTCTCCTCCTTCTCCATGTGGGTTTGTCGTTTTGGAGGGAACCCGTTGGCATTCCGAACCCGTTGTCCTGTCCCTCTACAAAAGCCAGGGGTTCACATCCAAATCCACCCATCCGAACCAAGGACAACCTGAAACACATGGGCATGCATCCGCGAGCTGCCAGTAGAAGGCCGGGTTCCTGGAGCCTCTCGGAACCTACCCTTGGAATAAGAAAAGCTGTGCTCCCTTTTTTGTTGCAGACCCCCAAATCAATTATGAGAACAGAAAGCCAAACACAAAATCGGACGTATGAAAGACGCGCCAATTAAATTCCGCTGCCAATAGAAATTAGATCGGGAGATGGAAAAACCCCATGCCGCGCTCCATGGCGTGGACCAAATATAAGGGGCCAAGAACCGGGAACCCATCCCGCGAGATCTGAGTTCCCCGTCGCCGTAGCCGCCGCTCAGCGGTCCCAGGATGTGATCCTTCCGAGCATCGTTTCGGGGCGGAGGTGCTTCAAACAACTGGGGCCCAAGAAAGTGCTGGGTCTTTCTTTGCAGGTGTTTCTTTGGGCGCCATAAGGGGGCTCCAGGATTCGACTTTCTGAACAAACCCACATGGTTTTCCTTTCCTGACTCATGGCTTTTGAGGGCACTGGACACTCCCAGCTTCTCTTTGCATCTACCCTTTTTGGGGTGTTTTTCGCCCCTTTTCTTCCCCAAGAGACGCAGGGAGAAGGCGAAATCCATGGGGGAGGGTGCGCCCAGAAGGGCGCCTGCAGCAAGCAGGCAGCGAAGCCGCCCGGGGCACAGCCCAGGTCCAGGAAGCGCCTCGAATGAAAGGAGCCGTCGTTTTTTTCCCTGTTTTTCCGACGACAAGCGCGCCAAGCTCGCTCTGACTTGGCTGTAGCTCAAATACATGTACCAAAATGGAAAACCTTGGTGGAAAAAAAAAGAAAGAGTAACCCTAGCTGATTCATTCTGAGCCACACACACACATACACTTTCTGGGGGTAAGCCAGGGGCCCCGATCTGGCCATGCCTCTCATACCAACCCAAGGGTTCGTGCCTTACTTTAGTGCCTTGGTGGGGGGGGGGGGAGGGGTGAGGGGGGGGAGGGGAGGCGGGGCTTCCTCGCTTCCTCGGATCGGGCTGCCGGGCGCGTGATCCCCGACCGCCATAGCACAGCCTCAAGGAGCAGAGAATTGGCACTTTGCTCATGGCGAAACCCAATCAGAGCCATCTCCAAAATTGAAAGCTGCAAAAATGGAATATGGAGGTGGGTCAAAAAATAGGGTAACCCCAAAATGGAACCCTGGTTTCATTTTGACCCAGACCCATACTCCGGCGGCTTCGTTTTAAAAGGTCGCCCGGCGTGTCTTTTTCGCCTTGTCACAGGCTTCGTTTCTGAGGGTCGCCTTTTTTGTACAGGGTGTTGGCCCCAATTTCGCCGGAATATGTGTCTTTGAGGTGGGGGGCGAGCTCAACGCCCGAGGACAATACAACACTTCCCCTTGGCGAGCCAAAAGCACACCAAGCGAAAGCTACATTCCAGGAGGGGAACCCTGTAAAGGAGCTTCATCATGGGTGAGCTCGTCTTACCCCACAGAGAGCTTGAGATAATCTTGCCCAGAGATTCTGGCAGAATGATGAACCATATAGCACCCAGTCAGCAAAAGTCTTCTCAAAATGGCTTGGATTAGCCCAGGGCGCTCAGTAGTTCCAAAACATTCACGTAGTCAGCTCTGGGAAAATTGGTTTAAAGCAGTGGACTGCCAATATTGCCAGTTGCTTACACGGGTTTCTCTCAAACTAGGAGAACCACACTTGAGGAGCGGGTGAACGAAAGCTAGCAGTTGTTGCATGAGATGGGTCGGTGACAGAGTGGATTCATAGGTAGCTTGTGTACAACGAGAGGCCCGGCAAGATTCGTAGGATGCGACACGCAAACGCACATGGTGGCGTGGCAAACCTTGAAAATCTGAAAACAACGAGAGGCGTCAGAAGCTGTCTTAAAGCACCTCTGGGTTCTGCATGCAGCGTGTGCAAAGATTCTTGCGAGGTGGTTTACCGAGAAGACTGAGGTCTCAAATGAACAAGCTGAATCGGTGGAACATGTAAAAGTTCGTAGCACCAAGTCCAAAACGGGCAAACCGAGACTGCTGAACACTGAGCCACTGCCCGGGGGGGGGGGATGGACCAGGGAGGAATCGAGCCTGAGACCCGGGGGGGGGGAGGGGGGGGGGGGTCTAAATAATTGATGTTTTTCAATCTTTTCGGCTCAAATAATTGAAAAAATCAATCTTTCGGCATTTGAGCCCCTTACCTTGCTTACGCAAGGAGAAACTTCAGCTAGCTAAAGCTAGCTTTCGTGATAAACTGGTGGGTTCTCTAAGCTCGAGAAGGGTACTCTCAATAAAAGATACATAACAAGGTTTCTTCAGATTCGAGTCCCCAAGACTTTGGGCGTGGCCCCAGAGCGATGGAAGCCAAAAAGCGCTGTACAAAAAGGAGTTGGCTCAACTCCTTGAATCCTCAACACTGCCACAAATAATCCTTGCGATGACATTGATCTGCCCGGTTCAGCTGGCTGCAATGAAACCCAGGATTGATCAACCCCTTAGAAAAGGTGTAATGAAGATCATCTTTTGGAGGGAGACCCCTAAAAATCCACCAAGCTCTGCTCAAATCAGGGGTCAACCTTGGCGAAGAACTCGGCCATTCGAGAAAAAAAAAAGAAGGAAAAAAAAAAAACACTCGGCCACGCGCGGTTAGCCAGCAGCGCCGATCCTTTTTGCGACAAGCTGCTAGCTGTACAACGGCCTCCTGAGAGCACTGATTCTCGCAAGCAAACCGCAGGGAGCCGAATGGATTCCCTTCAAAAGTTTGCTGGCCCTCATATGAAACCAAAAGGAAACCGTTGGCGTGTTAGGGTCGAACATACCGATATGGGTCTGTCTTTTTAAGGGGACGCTTTTGTTACTTGGTTTCCCTTTACTACCACCAAAAATGGTCATCCCAAAAAAAGGACCAGCCCCCGAAAGTGGTGGTTTTCCTTTTGGTGTCCCTTTACTACCACCAAACATGGTTGCATCCCCAAAACAAAAAGCCATCTCCATATGGGTACGGGTCAAAGTTAAACCACCATGAAACCACAGGTTGACCCATGCTTCCATTTACCAGGGTTCCCATTTTGGGTACATTTTTTTGACCCACCTCCATCTTGCTCCTTCCCTACGCGGGCGTTTCACCCATTACACCTGGCGCTTCGAAACGCTCAGGGCGGCAGCTGCACCCAGGCCCAGCATCACCAGGTCCCGCGACCGCAGAGGCAGCCACAAGGCGCTGAGCCAACTCCCCAGGCGCTCGCCCCAGCTGGGGTTGGCGTAGCCTGGGCCGATGGGGAGCAAGGATCGAGAAAGGGGGGGGTAAGGATGCGGGGATTGATCAATAGTCCATTTGGGGCCCCCAAAATGACCATGGGCAACCTGTTCCATGTACGAAATTCCATCTCTTTTTTAGGTGGTTTCCCTAATGGTCATCCCATGTAAAGGACCTTGATCAAGTAAAGGACCTTGATCAAGCCCCACATGACCGCTCTGACTTCAGCACCATCCGAAACACCTTGGTTGCAAAGTAAACGTTTGCTCTGATTCCAAGGGGGCTCGGTTGCAAAGTAAACGCTCGCCCTGTCAGTGGAATGTCCCCGACAACCCTTTGGCCGTCAGTGCTGACGCTTTTCACGCAGTGTCGATGAGAGAATGGGACCTGAACCAAAATGTGACGCTGCCAGGCTCTACAGTTGAGGAAAGCATGCGGCTGCTTCGTGTCTTTGCTTCACGTCCCCTTCGCGCTTTTGTTTGATGGCCGTGGGGCATAACCTTCGGCTCCATGTTGCGGATGAACATCCAATTGCCACCTATTTTGATGTTCACCTGGTTGTTTTTTGGGGTTTTCACCCACCGCCTGCTGTCTTCTTTCGCTTCGCTTTGCCGGGCGGCCGTACCAGAAGCCGCCCGTGAGGCGCGCCACGACCTGCTTCGGGGCATCCTCGTTGAAGACGCGGTGCCCGATGGAAGGCAGCTGGTCGATGGAGAAGCTGTTCTTGAGGACCCGGTACTCGTTCATCTGAAGCCATTTGGTCAAAACTTGCGGGCCCAAGTGAGTCAAAGTCCTGGAAACTGAAGGGGGCCATTCTTTCACCACTCTGATTCTAAGTGGTACTGTGGATGGACAAAATCCTGCACCACTTGAGAAACCCTGGAATGATGATCATCCTGTAAATACCAACAAATTATGGTTTCCCATGGTTGCAAAGTTGCAGGATTTCGTCCATCCACAGTAGGTTGAAGGAAAACAACCGCTGACTGGGCATCTTCTCAAAGGCTCCAGCGGAGCAAGTCTTTTGCTGGCCCCCTGACCTCACCCTCACAGTGACGCTACAGAGATCCTGCGGCAACAGCAGCATTCAAGTTGAACCACGCGTGTTCGAAACTTGACCATCCCAGGATCCCCGTCACCAAGCCTGGGAGCTGTGGATTGGATGGGGGACCCCCCGTTCAGTTGGGAAGCCTAACTCAATATCTGGTTGACTAGGTGGGTGTCCCATTTCAGAAACGGATTCACTGAAAAAGACACCCAACAAGGGTGGGCCTTTGGTTAGTTGAAGGGAAACACATGAGAAGCCAACCTTTTCAGGGGGTCCCTGATTGCAAGCCACACCCCAAGGCGAATCCGCCAGCTGAAAAAAACCATCCGCCTGCTCCCTCGTCCGCTTTCCGAAGTGCTCCTTCAGCACCTCTCGCTCGCCTCGAAGTTGTTTTTGCTTTTCAGCGCGGCCGGCCGAAGAAGCGCCGAGGTTTCCAATCGCCGGCGGGGTCGGTTTGGATACGGTTTGGTGGCTGTTTTTTGCCATGAAGGTTTGGTTGGACCATGTAACAAAGGAGAATGATGCACTCTATATATATATATATATATAGACTCAGATCACCGCAACAAGCTTGTACTCTTCTGTTTTGATCATCTTTTAGAGTCTCGGAACAACCCTCTTCCCAAAAGATCAGCCAAAATATTTTACACCACAAGAAGAAGAAAAAAATGTGTTCTTTTACGCCACGTCTCTTTCTTGGGGTTCCATCATGGTTGTGGGAAATGACCACTTCTGTGATACAGCAAAAAGGGCTTCCCAAAGACTACCACCCCATATAAAGGGGGAGATTCCCTTGTATCACAGAAGTGGTTGAATAAACCCCTTGATTCCACAACCCTGGGTTCCATGGTTGCACGCCGGACCCCAAATCCATGGCCGAGCCGGACCCCCGGATTGCTCAGCTCCGACGCCAAGCAGCCCTGGTACTCGAAGAAGGGGATGGAGTAGCCACAGGAGCTCTGCACCCGGTTCACCTCAACCAAGATCACCTCAAGCCGCCCACATCTTTGGGCGGAAACAAATCCGCCCGATGTTTTGTGTTTTGTTCTTTTTGTTTTTTCCCCGGGGAAAGAGGGCGGGGGGGAAGGGAAACAAAAACAACCACAGGCGTCAGCTTCGGCCTTTGAAACCCGCAAGGTGACCAACTCCCATGTGCCAACAAGAACACCCATACGGCATGTACGAGGGCTTGCAATCAAGGCGGCCTGGCCAAGCTCCACCATGCGCCGCATAAAACGCACGGGACGCTCCCTTGCCTTCTCGGGCGTTGAGTCACGTTGGTTTCTTTCACGTGCAGTTCCTGGTGCATTGGGATGCAGCCAAACCAAGTAGACTGTGGGCAAAATCACAGCAACTGCCCGCGCAAGCTCGCTTGCGGCTTGCGGAGCGCAACAAACACCCAAGCTGGTGGTCGACTTCATTTGCGCACAAGAAGAATTGAAAGCAGAAAAAACACTGTAAGCAACATCCCCCATGCCCTATCAGCAACCCGCCCCCGCCCCACATGACGCTTGCGGTCATGTCCAAGGAACCTTGACAAGGCCTGGCAGGGTTCGGCTGCTTGGCCAACCCCCGAAAACATGTTTCAACGCCTGTTGAAACATCCTCCAGTTGTTTCTCCTGAAGGGGGTATGGTTGCTTGAACAACCGCATTTGCTTTTAGAGGGTGAGCTTTGTTTAAAGGGAACCCAAGCAAGACCCAATGCCCATTTTACCCTTCCAGGGGAGAGTCAGGGCACTGAATGACAGGCTTGGGCAAA